GTTCACCTTCACTGCCACCCCTCTGTCCCCTCACCACAGGGAGTCCACAGCAGTATCTTGCTGACCACACGGGGCCCCCCATGTTCAAGTGGCCTGTCTTGGGAGCCTGCTAAAAAATGCAGATTCCTGGGCTCCGCATGAGAAGATTCCTGGCTGGGACCCAGGAGTCTGCATTAAGGAGACGCCCCACAGTGGAACCTGTTGCAGGGAGCCCTCTGCCCACCCTGGGCACAGGCCCCCGTGGTCCCCAAACTCCCTTCAACCCCACCACCACAGCCTCTCAGGGATCCCCCCTGTGGCCCTCCTCAGGGTGAGGCCTCCTGTCCCCACTGCCCATGTCCACCTCTCAGAGACCCACGGAGTCCACGGTCGTCCCTAGGAGTCAGGGGCTGGGGCAGGCCCCTCTGCAGGCAGGCCCCTGCCCCAGAGTGGCCACGACTCCCCAGTGCACAGGGCCGGGGAGCAGGCCCTGCTGCTGATGGGCAGGAGAGGAGACGCAGGCCAACAGGCTCCAGACAGTGCAGGGGGGAGACAGCTGCCCTTCCTGGCAGGTGGCAGGGACTCAGGAATGGAGTGCCGGGGCATGGGCCCCAGAGTCTGCAGCACCCCAAACTGCCCCCCAGGAGCTGCGCCTTCACCTGGCACAGGGACAGGCTGAGGGACTGAGCCCCCACAGGCCCGAGCCCCGTGGCATTCGCACGTGACGGCGGGCACTGAGGCCACACACCAGCCTGAGGGAAGGCGCAGTCCCTTGTCCTCCGGTCCACGGCCTGTGGGGACCACACTGCCACTCCCTGCCCAAGTACCTGGGGGCCCCATAGCAGGCAACGAAAAACCCAAGGACGGCGGCCACCCTCACTGGCCTGGCCCCTTCCCCAGTGGACTGAGGGCCCTGACCCCGCCCTTCAGCTGGCCAGGGGTTTGGGCAAACCAGACACAGGGGTTCCAGGCTCACACGTGAAGGTCAGGGAGGTGCACACCTCCCGGTTGTGCCGGGAGGCACGTCTGTTGTGTCTCCAGACGACCGGAGCTGGCAGCTGGTGCCGACACGGTCAGCCGGGCAGCCTGCAGGTATGTGTCTAGTTTGGGCTACCAGCCGGACACCCCAGCCCCACCTGTCCATCACTCTGCCCACTTCTGTGCCACGGGCAGTGGCAGATGGAACCTCTGGGGGACTTCCATGTTGTCTGTCTGTGTGTGGGGGGCGGAGTCCCATGTGTGCTGTCCCCGTGGGCGCCCAGGGCCATCCGGCTGTCCTGGCAGAGCCTCTGGGGCAGTGGGAGCTCCGGACCCAAAGTCCAGCAGCGTTTATGTGTGTCTGTTGGGGACATGAGGTCACTCAGCCGCTGCGTCCCATCAGGCCTTGCCCGGGAGGCCCAGAGAGTGAGCCCAGCCTGCCTGCAGCTGCCTGCCCCACGAGGTCTGCCCCTTGCGCCCCTGCAGAGAAGAGACTGGTGCCCGAAAGTCCTCGCAAAGCCCAGGTCACATGAGGGCCTCCCACAAGTGACGCCCCTGGTCTGTCCCCCAGCGCCAGGTGCCGGCAGGCTCACAGCGTGGGAGGGCCTCCCACAGCCGCCTGCCTCTGCACACCTGAAAGGGGGAGCCTCCCTCGGCGGCCTGCCGTTCCGGGTCCCCGCCAGCTGCTGGGCCAGCACCTTGGCTCTCATTCTGTCCGAGGCTTCCAAGGGCTGCGCAGACAGCAGCTGGGGTCAGTGAGGACGCCAGGTCGGGCAACACCAGGTGAGAGGCCAGGACCCCCAGAGCCCAGCGGCCCGGCTCCCGGCAGGTGCCCAGTCTCGGGTCAGCCTGGCAGCGCGTGAAGAGGCAGCGCGACGACCCCGCCCGGCCGGCCGCCCCGGGGCCCACCCTGACAGGACTCACGGCAGGGGCGTCGGTGGAGGTGTAGCGCAGGATGACCTGGAAGGGCTGGTGCGCCTGCAGCTCGGGCGGCAGCGTGACGGTGAGCGAGGAGCCGTAGTCGGTGAACGGGTCCACCCTGAAGGCCAGCGGGCAGCAGGCGGGCTCGGCGCCGGGCGCCTCGGGGAAGGCGGGCAGAGGGGGCGGGGTCGCGGGCCCGGGTCCGGGAGCGGCGAAGTCGAAGGCGCAGGACTGCTCAGCGGCGGCGGCGGCGGCGGGGGCGCGGCGGAAGGCGGCCGAGTGCAGGCGCAGGGCCGGGTGCGTGTCGAGCACGAGCGCGCGGGGCGCGGGCCGCAGCGCGCACAGCTCGAGCACCAGGCAGCCGGCCAGCTCGCGCGCCTCGGGCCGCAGCTCCAGGCCCAGCTGCAGGTGGCGGAGGCGGAAGAGCTGCGCGCTGGAGGCCGAGGCCACGTCCAGGGCGGGCGGCGGCTCGGGCGGCGGGCGGGCGGGCGCGGCCTCGGCGCCGGGCGCCTTGCGGCAGCAGCATTGCGCCGCCATGCCGCCGCGCTAGGTGAAATCCATGGGCGGCGCCGGGCCGCGGGGAGCCGGCGAGGGGTGCCGGGCGGCGGCGGCGGTGGGGCGCGGGCACAACAGGAAGTCGCGACGGGAGCCGCCCGGCCCGGCCCCGCGCCGTGCACCGCCCCGCTCCGGCTCCGCCTGGCCGCCGCCGGGGGCGCTGTGAGCCGGGACCGGGTGGCCGGGGCTCTGCGCGCGGGGTAACCGGGAGCGGGAGAAACTCTGTACAGGTGGCCCGGGCGCTGTGCCCGGCATACTAGGGTGGTCGGGAGCCCGGGCGCTGTGCATCGGGTGGGACGGGGAGTAGAGGGCTCTGTGCCAAGGACTGGGGCGCTGTGCCTGTAGTGAGGGGCCGCGAGGACACTGTGCTGGGAGGACCGGGGCGCCCTGGGGTCCGTGCAGCAGGCAGCCAAGTGGCCTCCCTGCCCTGTGCGCTTCCTACCTGGCGGGCGCGCCAGAGACCCCAGCAAGCGCCGCTCCCTCAGGGACGCTGCGCGCCAGCTCCCTGGGGCAGTGGCTGCCTCTGTGAAGCCGGGAAGCGTAGCGTCCGGGACCCATTGCGATTCATGCACTGGGGCTGAGGTGGTGGTTCTCTTCTTCCCCCACCTCACTGCCCCGTGAGACCCGCGGCGGTGCTGTGGGCGTTGTGGGGTGCGGGGGAGCTCGGGAGCCTCAGGGCTGTGCTGTGAGGCCCGGTGGCCGTCAGGCTTGTGCGGCTGTGTAGGTTCTAGTTCACAGAAGTTCAGGTGCCCGAGCGTGTTCCGAGGTCTCCGTCCGTGTGTGGAGTGCAGTGGGCGGCTGGCGGCAGGGCTGGTGTTCCGCTGTGGAAGGAAGTTCCCCAGGACAGTGGTGCCTGATGGTCCGCGGGGCCCGGGAGGCCGGACGGTTTAGGAGGTGAGTGCTGGGCCAGTAAGGGAGCCTGCCTGCCTGCCCCCGTCCCACGCCCCTGGCGCTGTGCGGGGGCCCTGGGCTGCGGGGCCAGCGGCAGGCCAGGCAAGATGCCCCCTGAGAGAGTGCCAGGCGGACCACGAGGCAGCGGCATGAGAGGGACCACCACGACGTTGTGACCCGCGACTGTAAGAGCCAGGGGCCTTGGGGGGAAGGGGCTGTGCCCTGGGAGCGCCCGGGAGCCCTGCACGCCTCTCCGCTGGCGAGATTGCCCAGCGGCAAGGTGTGGGCTGGACTAAGACCCTGCACGTGACCTCAGCGTCACCCCTGAGCAGCACTGAGTTTCCTGGACTCAGTGTCCCTGTAGTAACCACGCGATCACGCCTGCCCCCCCCCCCCGGGGACGGGAAGGACAGCAGCGAGGGAGGGTGTGTGTGCACAGACGCAGGGCACGTTCCCAAGGCAGGTCCCCATGTGCCATCCCAGCGGGGGGACACAGCCTCCCTCTTGGGGCCCACACCCCAAACGCAATGGGAGCCCAGCATTCCCGCTGCCACCTGGCGGAGGGGTCCGTCCTGAGCCAGGGGCTCAGCAGGAAGAGGCCTGGGGTCTGGTCAATCCTTCCTGCCCTCAGTGGCCCAGTGCCTGCCTAGACGGCAGGGCCTTGAGGTGCGAGGGCGGCGTTTTCGATGGCCCTCCCAGCTGACCAGCCTCTCCGAGCTCCACACCCAGGCCAGCTTCTTATCCTACCGGCGCTGTTCTGAGAATCATCCGACTGTGGTTCCTGCCACCTGGCCTGGGCTCTGTCGTCTTCGCACCCTGGTTACCCAGGGCCAGGTCAGCAGGTCAGGGGGCATGCCATCACAAGTGCCGTGAGCAGGGCAACTGCCTGGGCTCCGGTCCTTGCTCCCGACCTCCCGGCTGGGTGAATCGCTCAGCTCCCGAGGTTGCAGATGGAGCCAGTGGGGCGCTCGCCAAGTGGAGAAGGTGGCAGTAGACCCCCACGGGGTTGAGAGTGGCGATGAGCTGTGAGGGGCTCGGGAGTGTGTGGCAGCCAGCAAACCTCCTGTTAAGGTGGTGGAAGTCGGGTCAGGACTGGGGCTGCGGCTCTCGGGTGGGGGCTGGGGCCTGGTGACCCCAAGCAGGGCTGGGTGTGGTGTATGATCTGAGCCAGGGACCGATGGACGGCATAGTTTCTGTCCCAGGTGCAGAAGCTTGAGGACTGGGGGGGGGAGGCCCTTTCACAACCACTCGTGCTCCACTCGCAAAGGGTGAGCTTCCGGTTCCCATGGCTCTGGGCTCTGCTGGGGCAGATGTCTCCGTTCCCAGGAAGGATGCGTACACCTGGGGACACACCCTGTTCCCCTGGATGGGAGGCTGAGTCACCACCTCGAACCTGAGGCATCAGGCAAGTCAGGGCTGCTCTGCTGGATGGAGGGACTGGCCCTGGCTCCCAGGGACAGTGGGGTTCTGCTGCCTGTCCGTGGGGATTGCAGTGGCACGCTGGAGCTTGGGCCACTCTCCTGACACCTCCCAGGTTGAGTGGGGAAGGACACGGAGGGCATGGCCCAAACGCAGGCAGGAGCCACGCAGGGCCTTGCAGGGTGAAGGCTCATCCCAGCAGGGAAGACCCGCACCAGCAAGGAGGAGCTGGCCAAGGGTGGAGAGGAGGTGAAATGACTCTTAGCAAGGGAAATGATGAACACCAACTACAGTTATTTTATTCTTTTATCTCGTTATATATATGTTTGTATATGTTAACCAGGAACTACGTATAGTGTCTGGAACTCACATTGTAAACCCTGAGAAAGAAGATGCCCACTAAGAACAGCTCCTGGTGGCTAACAGGGTTCAAAACCAAAACCCAAAAACCCAGAGCCCAGCAGCCATTTCTACACGGGGCCTCTCTTGCAAAGCGCACTTTGCAGATAAGCCTCCGGTGCACTGAACTACCCACCTGCACCGTCTGTGCCCTGTGAGCACCCCTTATAAGGGAGCTCCTGAAATCCTGTTAGTCAGTAAGACTGACGCTTTCCCATCCAATCAGATACACAGCTCCTACCAGTGGTTCTATGCTGACCAATCAGGACAAGTGCCTTTTGGACCAATCAAACTAGGAGGATTTGGAGTCCTCATTTGCATGTGCAGGGACCAGAGGCAGGAACTTCTGCCCCTGTAAGCCAGCTCTCCTGTGGCTCTGAATGCACTTTCTCTTTCCACCTGATACTGAAGATTTTTCCTGGCTGCGTAGAAACATTAAAGGTGTCTTGCTGGGGCGCAGCACAGTACAAAGCAGACCAGCAGAGCAGCAAAGCTTCGAGGAGCAGAGCAGAGGGGCCCCAGGGCGACCTCACAGTCATTGTTTTAAAACTGTGCTGTGTTGCAATTGAGCTGTTCACAGTGAATAGTTTCCTTCTTAGCCACGCCCCAAATCAGGGATTCCTGTTGGCATTTAATTGGTACCCATGGTAATCAGTTGAAGACATGTAGTAGCCATTTTTTCCTTTTCTTTTCCCCACCATCTTATTTAAGGAGTGGTGGTGGTGGTGGTGCCTGGATTGGTGAGGCTCAGTGGGTTGGGTGCTGTCTGTGAACTGACTGGTCAGGGCACATGCTTGGGTTGCGGGCCAGGTCCCTGGCTGGGGGCGTGCAAGAGGCAACTGATTGATGCTTCTCTCCACTTTATCCCTCCTCCCCCCACACAATAAATAAATAAAATCTTTTTCAAAGAAGTGTTGATGGCGATACATTTTCTAGTGTCATCTTCAGGCCACAGGGCGTCTGGGTGAGGCGTGTGCCCAGGAGAGGAGTGCACGGGCTCAGACGCATGGGTGGCGGGCGTTCTGTGGGTAGGAGGGTGGCTGCGGGAGAGCAAACGTGGGCTCGATGCGGCAGCTGAAACCAGGCCATAAGGAAGGTAGGAGGTGGGCATGCTTGACAGTCTGTCACACCCTTGCACGCTCACCTGCATGTCGCAGCAGCTACAAGTCTGGAAACCATGGTCCTCGCGGGCCAGATCCTGTGTCCGGTTCAGGACCTCAGAGGGGACCACTGTGAGGCTGGGGAAAAGCCACTATGGCTCGAGCGGGTGGCAGACACGAATTTGCCAGCAGCCCCAGGCGTCCTCCCAGAGTCGCCCACATCCCAGTGGCCAGGAGCCAGCACCAGGGTGGCAGGTCTCTGACCCCTGGAACTTCCCCGTTTCCTGACCTTGGCTCCCGGTCTTGATGTCCCTGTAAGAAATGCCTTTCCGCTTTAAGCCCAAGAGGTTTTGATCTTCCTTGCCAAGCCCTGTCTAATAAATTAGGGGTGTGCATGGACTAGCTCTCCCTTGGAAACTCGGGAGCCCCGGCTTGGTGGTTGGACTGAGCAACTAGGGCTCACTGTCCGGAGGGCCCCTGGGGCAGGCGGGACCCGGACCGCAGGGCCTCCTCGTACTCCTGGAGCTGACGCCAAAAGCCCGGGTTGGGCTCGGCTACGGGGCGGGCGCTCTTCACCGTCTGCAAACAAGGGGATTAGGTTAAAGGCTGCGCAGCGCTCGCTACAAGGATCGCAAGTGCCCACCAGCAGTGCGCCGCGCCCCTGCCCGGAACCCCGCCCCTCCGGGAAGACAGGCTCCAACGAACGGCCCGCCCCACCGGAAGGCCCGCCCACCTGGAAGGCCTGCTCCAGGCTGAGGCCGCGGTACCGCATGAGGTAGGCGGTGCAGACGGCCACCGAGCGGCTGCGGCCGTTCTTGCAGTAGACGAGGCAGGCGCCGCCGGCGCGCACCGCCGCATTCATGGCGGCGCAGGTGGGCTCCAGGTGCGCCAGCAGGTCTTCGGCCGGGTCGTCGAACACGGGCACGCGCAGCTCGTCCACGCCGGGCGCGCGCGGCCCGGGCTGCTGGCGCGAGACGTTGATGCACAGCGTGACGCCCGCGCGCGCCAGCAGCTCGGACTGGACCGCGGCGCGCGCGTTCCCGAGGAAGAGCGAAGGGGCGACGTGCACAAACGGCGGCGATGCGGCCTCGGGACTCCCGAGGCGTCCAGTTGGTCCGGAGTCCATGACCCGCGCTCCGGCACCTGGCCCGGGGGTCTATTTTGGGCTGCCGGGAGCCTCCGGCGAGCAGCATCTTGGCTGTGCACCACCGGGCCCGCCCACTAGGCCCTGGCCACCTCCTCATTGGTCAGGGTCTGCGGGCCCCTTCTCTGATTGGATACCGGTGGGCGGACCCTGGCAGCAGCCCTGTGAGGCGGGGCTTCTAGAGCTGCAGGTGTAGGTCCCTGCCACCCCGGGAAGCTTCAAAGACGGGGACAGCTGCCTTGGAGTGTGTCCAGCGGGCGGGCCAGGAGCCCTCCAGCAGGGCTGAAGGCGGGGCGGCGCCTCAAGCTGTGGCTGCCGTGAAGAGCAGAGATGTTTAAGCAGTGTGCCGCAGCAGGCACAATGGTGTGCCGCGAGAATCTGTAAAACATGCAATACCTAGCCATTTGGTCAGGAACACTGAACTTCCCCCCTTAGATTGCCAAGTTTAAAAAAATGACAACAGGCAACACAACAAAAGCACGGTGTGAATGAATTCATACCTATTTTTTTTGTCAGATGGGCAAAAATATTTTGGTGTGCTGCTGCAGAAGTTTAGTTGTGTGTGTGTGTGTGTGTGTGTGCGTGCACACGCCCTGATATGACAAGGGTGGAACGTCGCTGGTGCAGCGGAGCGGAGGACCGGGCCACAGATTCTCATCCAGACCCCATCAGTGTCCTTATGTCCAGTTGTCTCCTTGGTGAACCACCTAGTTTGATGTGTTCCTTTTTCAAGTTTATTTTTAGAGAGAGGGCAGGAGGGAGAGAAACATCGATCATTTGCCTCCCAACCGGGGACCAAGCCCGCAACCCAGGCATGTGCCCCGACCGGGAATCGAACAGGCAACTCTTCAGTCCCAGGGAGCCACACCAGTCAGGGCGGTTTTGTGCATTCTTAGTAACCACATCCTTCATAACTGCCCTGTCGGATGAGGTGCCTTTGAGTACAGCTTTATGCTTATTCATGTTTTTTTTTGTTTCCTAGTTATCCTTTGTAATTTCTGCATTTTATTTTGTATTGTAAAGCATGGTTCATATAAATAAAGCTATTTACTATCAACTTTTCATCATTTCTTTCCAGACCAGTATTTTCGTTGTTTGTCTTTTTCTTAGTTATTAATTTTGGGGACATCACTCTAACTTTAAAAAGTTACAATAATATAAGTATTAAAAATGTAATATTATTTAATGTTCACACAGTTGCCTATTCAATAAGATTTATTGAGAAGACCTCTAAACAGATGTTTTTTCTGAGAGCCAGTGTATTTCAGAGAATGGTTTCAGTGAAAAGTAACTGTCTTGCAGCCTTGCATATATTTATTTAGTTGCAATTTCCATTTTATTTTAATAGTAGCAAAAAAATTTTCTGCTTCCTCTCCATTGTTTACTTAAGATTTGCAATCCATTCTTCCAGAGAATACACCCCACTCCAGACTGCTCCCCCCTAACCCCCACCATACACACAGACCTAGTACTGGATAAATCTGATAAAATGAACCCGTACAGTCCCTCTGGGTGACCTGGGTTCTCTTTATTCCCGCTGCAGCCCCCGAGCATTGCTAACGGCCAGATCTGTTCTGCAACCAGGGGCTCCCTTGTGAGCTAACGCCTCAAGTGTGGGTCTGCAGCTGCTGCAGGTCCGGGCAGCACCAACAGAGGCCCCCCCAGAAGAATCCACTTCCCTCTTCCGTCCTAAGGACAGACTCCACATTCCTGGGATGAAATTCCCATTTTCCCAAGTTCACAGAAGCCACTGAAATAGATTTTCCGTTCCCCAGCTCCAGAAGGGGCCCCCGTTACCTCCAGCCAATCAGTAAAGCTGTTCTCCCATGATCACTTCATCAGCAATCATGGTGTTACCGAGCCCAACCAGTAGGGGGAGCCCTAGTGCTCGTTGACTACCAGGCAAATCTCCAAAACACACACACACGCACACACACACACACACACACACACACACACACACCCCACCCCCCCACCCCCGGGAATTCAGTAGAAAAGAAAGGAATCTTTTATTTTATGGCAAGTTTCTGCCTAAAATATCTGGGTAGCAAAAGTAGGGGGAGAGGAAAAATCAGAGTATAACATGACTATTCGTCATTACAACCCCTACGTCCGGTCAAGAACTGAAAATACCACGAGAACAGAGACCTGTTCACAGTGCTGTCTATTACCCCCCACGGCCTTGGAAACAGCAGCAAGCTTCTGCCTCAAACCCTAAGACACCCGAAGGAAAATCACCCTGTCACCCTCTGCCAGCTCAGTTCAAGGTTGTGCCAGGAACCTCTTCTCGCACCTGAAAGTATCCTGAGCGTAGGTGGCTTAGCTGGTCTCCAGTAGCTGTCCAGCTGTTCATTGCCTTGTAGGAAAACAGGGTCTTAGTAGACGTAATGACGCCATACTGGATCAGACCAAGTGCCTGGTGTCCGTATAAGGAGAAGGAGATTGGCAGACCCAAATACAGAGGAAAGAATAACTTCTGTCGCTTTAAGGCGCCCAGTTTGTAACACTTTGTTGCAGCAGCTTCAGGAAACGAATACATCAACCAATGCAAAGGGCGCTTAAAAACATGTCTGGCAAGCCCGACAATTTGGTAAGATTGGCAAGACAATTCTAAACTCTACAAGGTGGTCGCAGGGACCCCGGACTCCAGCCTCATCCCGGACCCCGACCAGACCGCCCTCCGCAAACATTTACCCTCCCCTGGCTTTACTGGGACGGTGGACAAGCTAATTCGCCCCTTAGGTGAGCCTCAGTTTCCTCGGGGCTCTCTGCACCGAGACACTGGGAGCCTTTCGCGCTACGTGCCCCGGGGAGCCCTTGGCCCCTAAGCTGACCGCCGTCCTCTCGCGGGACATTGAACTCGGTGGATGGGTGGGTGGGGGTGAAGACTGACCTGCCGGGGAAGCCAACGGCCGGGCTCAGATAAGCCAACAGCACTCGCGGACGTGCGGGGGCGCCGGGGGTGGGGGGGACACTGCCGGGGGAGGGTGAATGGGGGACACAGGGCCAGGGAATCCTGGCAGGTCCCCAAGGGGCAGGTCTTGCAGCGGTCCCAGGACGTCCGGGGGCGTGTCCTCGCAAGCGGGGCGTGCCTGTGGGCGTGTCCGGTCGAAGCCTGGCGCGGAATTGGCGGAGGCGGCGGAGAGCCGCACGTGGGCCCGGTCCGTTGCCGGGGAAACCCGAAGCTCTTGGGCTCCGGCGCCTGGCCCAGAGGAGACTAGCCAGCGGCGCTGCGCTGCTGGCGGACCCCGGGCCATCGCTGCGAGCTCTGCGAGCCTCGGTGAGACCCCACGTCGGGGGCGAAGTCGGGATCCCTGAGGGGAATCGGCGAGTCCCGGTGAGTCGAGGTAGGGGGTCTCCGAGCTCCTCAGAGGCGCCCTGGGGGCCTGTGCGTGGGTCCCACGTCCCCGGGGGGGAGCACAGAGGAGATTTGGGGCCCCACGTGCGTGACAGGCTGTGAGTTAGTATGAGTTAGGGGTTGGGTGGAGGCCATGCCTTCACGCCCGGTCCCGCAGCCCTCGCGGGTGGGCTCCCGAGGCCCCCCGGGGTAAGGGGGAGCCCTCTGACTGTGCCCCCAACTCGGGAAGCTAGCGGGCGCAGGACTGGCCCCCACGACGAGGTTCTAAGTTGTGGTCGTGGGAGGGTGTCCCGACGGCTCTTCCTGCGGTTCCTGCCCCACGAAGGGACAGGAACACCCTGGGAGCTCTGGGGAAGCTTTCCGGGCGGTTCTAACAGGATGTAGGGGGCTGCGGCCTTGGGCCTGGTCCAGTGGGGAGGGGGCCGTTTCTCTGAGGCCGGTGGGGCTGTGGGCGGTCAGTGGGCCCCTGCCAGGAGCCCCCAGAGCTAATGTGGGTCTCGGGCTTTGCTTCCAGGTTCAAAGACGAGAGACATGGAAGGGGGTTACTCCTCGGACTTATTTTACAAAGTCCCAAGCGGTGACCAGCAGGAGGGGAGGGGCAGCGAGCCTCCTGCCTCTGAGGACCCCGGAACCCTGGGGAGCTCTGCGCTCTTCACCAAAAGGTGTGGGGACCCCCCCACAGGCCGGTGGGCCTCTGAGCCTGGGGGCCAGGTTTCGCTGGGATCCGGCCTCGGGGCAGGGCTGCAACATCGCGGAACGCTGTTTCATCCCTCGAAACACTCGTCTCTGGAGAAACAGAACACCTGATGGTGTATCGACAGTCAGGGAAATGACCGTAGCGGGTGACTGGGCCCCAGAGCCCGACCTTTGCTCCTCCCTCAAGCCTGCCCACTCTGGCCCCGCCGTGTCACCTCCCACCCTTAGGGACGACACTGGCTGGACATCTCGTGGTCCCAGGTCGTCCCGGCTTCTTCCCGGCTGTGGTCCTGAGGGCTGGCGTGTGGCAGGTCTGCCTTGGGCTGGGTGCCCCCCTCCCGTCTCCAGCCACCCTGACGTCTCAGGAAATCACCCCATGACCCCACTGGGTCTGTCTGTCCCTGGTGTGGACTGCACTCTGCTCTCCAGCCCCGGAATGGCCGTGTTGAAGCCCTACCCCCGATGTGATAGCGTCAGGAACGGGGGCTTTGGGGGGTAATTAGGTCAGATGAGGCTGTGAAGGTGGGACCCCACGGTGGCACCACCACCCTCATAACAAGAGGAAGAGAGACTGACTAGCAGCGTCCCTCCCCGCCTCTTGAGGACTCAGTGGAAGCCGACCCTCGCGGAGCACCGAGTCTTCAGGCTCCCTGACCGCGGACTTCCAGCTCCCAGCGCTGGGAGCCACGCCCGCCTGTGTCCGAGCCCCACCCGTGTCCGAGCCCCACCCCCGCTGCTCAGGACAGCAGCCGGAGCGGCCTGACGCCATCCCCACTGAGCGGACGCCGGAGCAGAGTCACGAGGGTGTAGGGAACCCATCTGGGGGCAGAGCCAAGTGGTCGAGCTGCCGCCTGCCTTGCCCCCCATTCCCCGCGCCCCCGGCGGGGGCCTGCCAGCTGATGGCTCGCAGGAACGATCTCCTCGCTTGACCTCCAGGTCGTGTTCACTCGTTTTTCTTAGGGGAATGTGTGAGCGTTTTTATTTCGCATAGTCTCGCTGCCTGTTATCTTTCCTCATTATTATTTTTTAAGTAACAAGTGCCGTCTGTGCCAGGCGGAGAATGAGAAACCACTGGCACGTCGGTGCGCTGGGGCTGGGGCGGAGGACCTCGGTCCGGGGACCTTACCCAGCCGCTCGCTGTCCTCCGTTCTGAGGTCGAAGGTCGCGTTGTCGTGGGCAGGGCCGTCCGGGTCTCGGGAGTGGGAGGTGCGGTACCGGCACCGGGTGTGAGGGCAGCCGTCTGCCCCTCCGCCTACACGTCCTCTCACCGGGCTGTTCTCCGCCCCTCCCGACTTCCTCCGCTTACGGGGACAGCCGTCTCCGCGCACTAGGGTCCAGTCGAGTCACCCTGCGTTTCCGGAGGAGCAGGACTCCGACACGTGAATTCTGGCGGGGGCGAGGGCACAACTCGACCGGCAGGGAAACAGAACCCAAAAAGCCCCAAACAAAGCGTGTCTGAGCGTCCAGGCTTCATCGCCGTTGCGTGTGGGCGTCTGTCCTTCCCGGGTTCTCCCTACAGACCCGCGAGGACGCGGCGAACAGGGGTCTGAGCGCCCGGAGCAGCCCAGCCGCTCTCTGCTGGGCGGGTGCCTCAGGCCTCCCAGCAGCTCCCGGCCGGCACTGGAGGGCCACGTGGCGGAGGGGTTCCGAGCCTGAGCGTCCCCGTGCCAGGCGCAGCCCGACAGCGGGGCGGGTCTGGGGACAGGCACCCCGATGGAGCACCCCGAAGGGAGGCCCATGCAGTGGGGAGGGAGGCAGGGAGGGGGAGTGTGTGCTGGGTGGGGCGGGGGGGGGGCAGACCCCCATTTGATCCAGGAAAGGGGAAAGCCCACCCGCCACACGCTCTCTGTCCCCACCGTGCGCCCACTCACCCCCGACCCCTTCCTGGACCCACGGGTCCGCTGCTGCAGCTCAGGCGGCCCTCCCGTCCCCCTTGCTCCGGGGCCCCTGCCCCTAGTTTAGCCCGTTGCCCGTTCCAGACGGGTCTGCCCGCTCTGCCAGCGGAGGAGAGAAGAGCCTGCAGGGCACACTGGCTGGCGGCCCACCCCGGGCTCGCCCAGCGCGCAGTGGGCACGAGGCAGCCATTGGTCCTCTGCCTGGTCCTGCGGCCAGGCCACCCTCGCCGGTGCCCTGGCCAGGCGGACTTGCTGTGTGGCCGCAGGCAGGCAGTCACCGCGCCCTCGCTGCCTCACTTTCCCGTTCTGGGGAATGGGGCTATCGGCAGCCTCTGCCCCAGCGTTGCTGGGAAGGAGGAGTGGGGTGGGGAGCAGGGTTCTCACTCTCCAGACCTGTGACCAGCTCAGTTCTCCCGCCTCTGCCCTTCACCCCCGCCCCAGGCACAGGCCACAGGCCCTGGTGGAGGAGGAGGAGGAGGAGGAGCCCAGGGGCGCGCTCACGCAGCAGGACCTGCAGGAGACCTGCGTCCAGCTGGCCCAGGGCGTGCAGGAGTGGCCGGACGGCTGCGTCTACCGAGGGCAGTTCGGCCCAGGCGTGAAGATGGGCTCTGGAGAGTTCTCGTGGCCCACGGGCGAGGTAACCACCGGCTTCCGATGCTTGCTTCCCCCTCGCCCAGGGCTCGACCACCCAGGGCCCTTCTCGTCCCTCCCTCGAGGGGCGTGGTGTGAACGCACAGGCCCAGCAACCGGAGGGTGGCCGGGCTGATGCCCCCCCGCCTGAGGACCCCCCGAACGTGCCCCGGGCTCCCAGGAGCCGCCAGACCACGTGACCAGGCCCCGGGCAGGAGGGCGGGGCCCTGAGCTGGCGCAGCCGGTCAGACGAGACCCCAGGGGGGTGGACAGACGGAAGCCGGGGCCCTGGCCCCAGTGCTGGGCGTGGACGGCACAACCTCACTCGGCGCCCACAAACAGTGCAGCACGCAGGCGGTTCCCCGTTGGTCGACCGGACACGGACAGTGGCCCTCGCCGCCGTGCACACGGAATGGCGTGGGCGGCGGCCGTCCCCATCCTGGGGCTCCTCTGCTGCCCAGGGTCCGGCAGGCACCGCCAGACTCTCAGGACGAGTGACCCGAACTAGGCCCGGCTGACGGGGAAAGGGGCTTGTTGGCCCTTGGCGCCGGAACCCCTCGCTGGGGCCCGCAGCCTTCCCCAGCGTGGCTGGGCCCAGGGACCCCGCGGCCGGCGGCGGGGCCAGACTGACCTTCCGCCACAGGCGAGCCCACAGGGCGGTGTCACTCGCTGCTGCTGCAGGGGAGAGACCGCCCTGGCAGGACCCTGGTCCGGCTCGGGGTCGGGTCCCAGGGCCAAGCCCTCCCCAAGGCCTGGGCCGCAGGTCAGGAGTCCTCTGGCTGGACGGGCTTGGTCACGTGGGCGGGGGAGGGTCAGTCCACTGAAAAGCCCCTGAGCAGTCAGCTCCGCTGCCCAAGGGGAGAGAAGGGACACTGAGCAGGCCACAGAGTGTCCCCTTGGTGCGGGGCGGGGACAGTCGCCCGAGAGCCGTCCAGCCCGTTTCCGGTGCGGAGGGCAGTGTCCGACAGGCATGGCAGTCGGTGGCGTCTGGCGACTGGACGTTGGGTGCTCCCTCCTGGGGCCCCCGTGGGCGACAGGCCCCGGACGCGGCCCGATGTGGAGGAGTTTACGATCACAGCCACACCTGCGTGCCTACAGCCCACAGCCCTCCCCCAGGGCCACACGGGCGCCAGGAGGCTGGCAGCCCCCCTCCCTGGGCTTCCTGCGGCCCGGGGACCTGCGTGGAGGCTGGCAGGGTGGGAGCTGAGGCCAGCCCAGGGCCAGGGAGCAGACACAGCCTCTGCCCAGACCCAGGGGGGCACCGACCCCGTCACGGTCATGGCCTTTCCCTTCTTGACTCAACTCCCCCCCCTCCCCCAGCCAGGTGTGGCCTGGGGGTGTGACCATCAGACGGACCCCTGGCCCACCCTCTGCACCGTCTGGATGACCAAGCTCTGTTCACGCTGGCCACCCAGACTTGAACGGGACCCTGTGGCCGGGCAGCCCGGCGCCCCCGCTCACAGCTGGCCAGGTGTGGGGCTCGGCTGGGAGGGCGGCCTGGGCGGCTTCTCAGACCTGCGTCTCAGAGCGCTCCTTCCGCAGTCCTACCGCGGGCAGTTCTACCGGGACCACCGCCACGGCTTTGGCACCTACACGTGGCCGGACGGCTCCCATTTCACCGGCATGTTTTACCTCAGCCACCGAGAAGGCTACGGCACCATGTACACGAAGGCACGGCTCTTCCAGGTGAGTGGGCGGGGCCCCGGTGCTGGCGTGGGGTGGGGGGCAGCGGGGGGCTGTCGCCGGATCTCCGGGCCACGGGACAAAAAGGTATCTCGGCTCTGAGGCGGTTCGTTTCCTGTTTGTATACGTGTCTGTATGTAATCCTGCCAATAACAGGGTGCACGAGCGTACAAGTGAAAACGAGAAGAAACTGGAAGCCTCTTCACTGCTGTGTCCCCAGAGTAGGGACGCGTCGCCGGCCAGTTGTCCAGATCTTTAGCTAGAACAGCACATGCGCCTAAACACTGACGTTTTTGTACGTAAACGGGATCATTCTCTCTACATTGTTGTGGAACTTGCCCCTCCCCCGCCCCGAGACTGTTGCTGGTTGTGCAAGTACAGACCCGTTTCCCCTTATTTTGTTCCATCCCAGTGTAACTCACAGTAAAATCCACCGTGTCGGTGCGCAGCTCCGAGGGCCCGACCGGTGCAGAGCTGGGCAGCCGCCCGCCGCCGCCCCCACCGCGCCGGCGTCACAGGCCTCCCGGCCCCCGCCAGCCCGGGCCTGACTCCCGCTCGCCCGTCAGGCCGCCTTCGCCAGAACGCCGGATGCGCGAGACCGCGCCCCGGGTCTCGCTGAGCGAAGCGTTTCAGACCGTGTGCGCGGCCGTGTGTGTCGGGGCCTCGCCCTTCTGGTTGCTCGGTGGTTTATTTCCCGGGGGGCCACCCAGTTTACCGCCCCCCAGCGGGCAGACGTGGGGGCCGTTCCCAGTGTCCCGCGGTTACGAGGGAAGCTGCTTTAAACACGTATCTGTGCGCACACCTGCGGGTGTCTGTACGTGTGTGTGTGAGAGTGTGTGTGTGTGCGTGTAAACATGCTCCCAGACTTCCAGCGGCTCCCCATCAGTCCCGCCTCCACGCCCGGCCCTCAACAACCACCAGCCTGTCCTCCGTCACTGCGGCCTCCCCTCTCCTGTAGCTCTGTGTAAATGGAGTCCCACAGCATGCGACATGTTCAGTTCCTTTTCGGTGTAGGGTGGGATTCTTTTGAGATCCGTGCCTGTTTTCCCCGTGTCTGCGTGTGAAGGAGCTGCATCCCGCCGTGCGGATGTCGGCCACCGGCCGCCAGCTCACCAGCCGCTGCACATCTGAGTTCTTCCCAGCGCTTGGTGGTTCTGAGTGCAGCTGCCCGGAGCTTTCTCTTCCACGTGACACGAGTCTTTAGTGTCGGCCGGAGGAGCGCTGTGACCGGGTAGCAGCCAGCTGTGTGGCGCCGCATCTGTGCCGACACTTGGCACTGGCAGTTTTGAAACCCTAGCCCAATTCTCATGGGTGTCTTGCTGTTTGCACTTGCAGCACCCAAATGGCCCATGATTCCAACCTCCTTTTGTGCTCTCAGCTGCCGCCTGTGCATCTCCCGAGGTGAAGCGCTCGTTCCTGCGCTTTGCCCGTTGTTTTAAGTCGGGTGTTTGGGCTCTCACTGGAGTCACAGAGGTGTGTGTGTGTGAGTGTGTGTGAGTGTGTGTGTGTGTGAGGTGGGGCAGTCGTCCATATGGAAGATGGCACGGCGATTAATGAACAAAAGCACAAGACTCAGCCCCGTGCCTCACATGCCGCGAAGACCCGGCTTTCGCCCCACGCTGTGCTGTGGGCACGGCGCTCACCGACCACACGACTCACGACCACTTCCTGCCGGCAGGGGCCCGCCGTTCCGTTCTCTTCGCAGTGCCTTTTGGAAAGCGGATTTTTAAAAAATGGTGACAAGGCCCCACTTACCCACTTTTCTTCCCTCGTCTTGCTTTTGTGTGTGTGCTCCCTAGCTAAAAAGTCTTCGCTTAACCCCAGGTTTCTAAGATCCTCGCCTGAATTCTCTTCCGATTTTCAGTTCTGGCACTCACCCTTGGGTCTGCGGTTCATTCTGAGTTCGTGTCCGTGTTTCACGGGAAGCAGAGACCACTCCTCCCCTCTCCGCCCCACCCCCCTGTCCCCCCCACATGTGGACACGCGACTCTTCTGGCCCCGTGCGTGGGAAAGACTGACACCCCCCCACGGCCCAGCTTTTGCGTCTTTGTCCATACCCCCATGTGGACACGCGGTTCGTGTGACGCCGGAACCGACCAGCGAGCTCCGGAGTCAGCAGCCTCGTCCCGCCCGCCGCGGCCACGCAGTTTCAGGGGCGTCAGCGGCCACTGTCTGCAGCTGCTCCCTCCCGAGAGGGTGCGCCACAGGGACCGCTTAGGAATCCTGCGATTCCTCCTTCATCGTGAGCTCGAGTCGCTGTATTTACAGAAGGCCGGACACGCCCTTGATGGCTTTCTTCTGTCCCAGTCTTCAGAATAACACGTTGATTTCCTAACACCCTTGAGCGTGTCGATGACAGTCGTCATTGTTGTTGTTGTTGTTTAGTATCTTCATAAACTCTGGCTTTTCAGTCCCCGGCAGCGGCTGGGAGGCTGTCCAGCCCTGGGCCGGGCGAGCCTCTGTGCCCCGGGCCCCGGGGGTTCGGGCAGCTCCAGCCCCAGGAGCGGCTGTCCACCTGCGGACCCCGCGGGCACGGCGGTCAGGAGCCGTCTGGGTGGTCCTCTCCGCTGTGTCGGGCGGGCGGGCGGGTGGTGCTGCGCTGTGGTTTCTAAGCTTTTCCAGCGGCAAGTCCAGGACGTTCCTTAAAAGTTTCGATGAGGAAAGACACTCCCCGTTTCTCCTGACGGCTCCAGCCCAGTTTAGAGATTTTCTTTTTCTTTGTAGAGGTTTCCTTTTATTTTCCTTTACGTTGAGGGAGGGGAAGGCAGGCGGACAGGGAGGGAGGGAGGGAGACGCCCCTGTGGGGTGCGCCCTGTGTGGGCCCGCACCCTGGGCGCCTGGGCGGGCTCCCCCGCTGCAGCCGCTGAAGTGGGCCCCCGGGGCCGTCCCCGTCAGGCTGCCTCCCGCTCGGGGACCTCCAGACACGCCCGCCCCTGCTCGGGAAGGCCACCCTGACCACCCAAGGGTGGTCAGCATGCCCTGTCGGACGTGTCCGTGGCCGCACGTGTACTTCCGGCCCCTGTGCCCGGGGCCCAGGAAGCCGGCCACAGAGCCCCCCTTCTTCCCGCGGGTCTCGTTGCGCAGGGGCTGTACCGAGCGGACCAGCGCTTTGGACCGGGCGTCGAGACCTTCCCCGACGGCAGCCAGGACGTGGGGCTGTGGTTCCGTGAGCACCTGCTCAAGCTGTGCACCTCGGTGCCGGGCGGCTTCTCCATCTGCAGCTACCCGGAGTTCGCGGGCTTCCTGGCGGACGCGGCGGCCCGAGTCAGCCTCCCGGACGAGGGCACCATGCCCTGGGACCTGCGCGAGCAGCAGGACCCGTTCTTCTACGAGTACAAGCGCTTCCTGCTGGACGACGACCTGACGCTGCCCCCGGAGATGCACGTGTACTCGACCGACAACACGCACATGCCCGTGACGCGGGCGCTGCGCCGGGACCTGGACGCCAGCCTCTTCCTGCACAGCGTCCCCCCGTTCGCCGAGGACGGGGGGCCCTGGCTCCTCCGGAACGAGACCCCTCTGCTGGTCAGAATGCAGAGGCAGGCTTACAAGTTCAGGTAAGGCCGGCCGCCGTGCTCACCCAGGGAAAGCCGGTGCCGGTGGCCGGGGCACCCCGGGGTGCCAGAGGGCTGCAGGGGCCTGCTCCGGGGGAAGGCGTGGTCAGGAGGCTGCTGGGCAGCCAGTGTGCAGCCAGGGCCGGGGACGGGCTGGGGAGCAGGGCCGACAGGCTCCTGAGCCTGGGCGCTGAGCTCACCCCCTGCTGCGGGGACCTTGTCCGTGTTTGCCCTGCGGACGGAGGTCGGAGCGAGAGCCCCAGACCCGTGCAGGGTCGTGTCTGCGGCCGGACGGTTGGGTCCCTGTGCGGCGTCCGCACACACACGGAAGTGTCGTTACCTGGAGTCTTCACAGGGACCCGGGCAGAGAGCCGGGGCTCGGGGGGCTGGGCAGGAGTGGGTCGAGGGCCGGCTGGGCCTCCGGCTTCCCCAGAGGTGGCGGAAAAGCTGGGGCTGTGCTGCCAGTCCCCGAAGACACCCCCGCCCCATGCCTCGGGGTGGGTGGCGGCACCAAAGGAAAGCAGATTTCTTAAGCAAAATCTTCAAGAATATTTAAGTTTTTTCTTAAGCTTTGCCTTCCGATACCAGTGAACTGTTTCAGAACGTGTATTTTGTGAGCGCAAGTGGCTACTTATGTGTCCGTCTGTATCTCTCCAACACCCACCCACCCACCCACCCATCCATCCACATTCACCAGGCCTTTACGTCCACCCACCCATCCCCTGGTGCCTGATGCACCAGTCCATCTGTCATGCAAACATCCGCTCAGCCCGTAGCCGTAGGCGACTCTTGGGCACACAGGCTGTCGTGAAACCACACTTGGTGACTGGGAGGAGGTTGTGTGGACACAGGAGGCTTGTGTGTGTGGGGGGGGGATGGGCCACGGGCCTTGCCTGCATGCCACTCAGAAAGGAACGGAATGAGCAGGGGTGGGATGTGCTCGCTCGGTGCCCGGTGCCAGACCTGCGTGGGTGCCCGGCCCCCTTCCCACCCCGGGCCCTGCTGTGAGAGCCCCCCCCGACCACACGGGGGGCCAGATAAATCAGGGGCACTCACAGCCTGAGCATGTCCGCCTGCAGGCAGAGTGTCTGTCCGGCCACAGCGCCACGTCCACGCTGACCTGGCTGGCCAGCGCAGCGGACCCTGGAGCTGAGGGGGAGGGGCAAGAGAGGGCGGGGCAGCGCAGGGTGAGGATGGGGAGGAAGGGCAGGAGGACGGGCCCAGGGTCCCCCTCGGGTAGCAGGGGTTGGGTCCATGGAAACGCTCCCCCCCGCCCCGCCCCGTGTTGCCAGGAACACGCAGGCGCACTCCAGCTGGAACATGGGCGCCATCCTGGAGGGGGACCGCAGCGGCTTTGCGCGCCCGGGGCCCAGGGAGCGGCTCTCCAGGGAGCTGATCCTGAAGGCCGAGGAAGGGAACTACGGCTGGATCTACAGCATCCTGAGGGACAACCTGGCCAGCCCCGACGTGGCCGACGCCCAGGGCTACACTGTGCTCGCCGCGGCTGCAGTGAGCGCCCCCTCCCCCCACCCCCCACCCCCCACCCCGCCGCATCTGTCCGGGGCCGCCCTCGAGCGGGGCGGGGGACGTCCCCTCTGCCCTCGGGGGGCCGCAGTCCCCCCAGACAGTCCCTCCGTGGGGTGCCCGGGGTCCCACAGGAAAGGGCGAGGGACCACGTGGGTCCTCCAACGCCTGGGGCACGTGCCGGGCGTCCCTGGGCCGAGTGTGAGAGGAAGCATGAGGCCGGCGTCCCCGAGCTCAGGCCGGCGCGACCTCACGCGGGGAAGCCGCCTTCTCGTGCGTCGGGCGCCCCCCTCCCCGGAGGACCCCGCGGTCCTCGTGACGCCGGCCCCCCCCCCCGGCCAGGTCCGCTGTCACACGGACATCATCAACCTGCTGCTGGACAACGGGGCCGACGTGAACAAGTGCACGGACGAGGGCCTCACGCCGCTCAGCATGTGCTTCCTGCTCTACTACCCGACCAGCTCCTTCAAGCCCAACGTGGCCGAGAGGACGGCGCCCAAGACCCAGGTCAGCCCCCAGGTGGGCCCGCGGCCCGGCTCAGCGCCCGCAGTCCACCCCCGCACCCGCCCTGCCCCCCTCCCCCATCACCCGTCCCTCTGCCTGCCCGCCCAGCCGCCCGCCAGCCTCCCCTGCTGGCGCGGACCCGGTCAGACGGGGTGAAGTGACAGTGAGGCCCGGGGCCGGGGAGCAGGGAGCGGGGACGGAGCCCGCAGGCCGGCTGAGGTGTTCTGAGCTCGTTGCCAGCCAGGGTGCCGAGGGGCATGCGTCCTCGGGCCACGCGCACGACATCTGGGACCCTGGGACCCCTCGGGCGGTCCCCAGGGAAGGGGGCGCCGAGGAGGGAGTGGGGAGCCCACCTCTGCGGAGCGGCCTTCGGCGGCAGCCCCCTGGGCAGAAGGGGCTGGCCAGCCCCACAGCCTCTCCACGTGCAGAGGGCGCGGGCTCAGGGGAGCCTGTGGGTTCAGCGAAGGAAGGCCGGGGTGGGGGGGATGGGGGCGGGGACTGAAGTCGAGTGTCCCCGGGGACCCGGCACCCGGGGGAGTCCTCACACGCTCGGAGTAAATCGACTCCTGATGGAGGCACCGGGCCCATAAAGCCCTCTAGTCCTGTTCTTAAAATTCTCGCAAACGTCACTCCCTCTGTTTTTACACAAAGCTGTCACTCTGTCCTGTCTGTGGGGACAAGGCTGTCCTCTGACCCCTGCCCTGCCTCGCAGAGCGGCTCACACACCTGAGCGAGTTCTGGGCCACCTGGAGCAGGGCCGACCCTGCAGCCGACACCGTGGGGATGCGGCCATGGTGACCCTCCCAGGCCACTGTGCTGGGCTGCGTCGCAGGCTGCAGTCAGGACAGGCCCCTGGGCCCCCAAACCTCAGCCGTTCACAGAACAAAAGACGGCTGGCCCCACCCCCAGCACTTGGGCCTCGGTGGGTCTGGGGTGGGGCCCGGGGATGCACGTCGCTGGCACCGCTGACTCTGGTCCAGGTCCACCACACTCAGGCGCGGGAGGCTGAGGGGCTGGGGCGAGAGCAGTGTCTCCTCGCAGGAGCCCCGGCGGGCAGCAGCGGGAGCCCCCACGTGACTCAAAGCTTTCTGGGAGTCCCGTGGGAAGTTGAAGGTGGGATTAATGGTATTACCATGCTGCATTTCACCTGTGTGTCCACCATCTACCCCTACCATGGACCCTGAGAAAGAAGACCCTGCTGAGAAGGGCTCCGGGTGGCTCACGGGGCTCAAATTAAAACGAGGACAAGCAGAGCCTCGCAGCCATTTCTGCCCCTGGCCGCTCCTGCAAACTGCCTGCTCTTCAGGGAGCTGCCCACACTGAGCTGCCCCTGCACTGCTCCCGCCTTCTGGGCCGTCCTTATAGAAGAGCCCCCCCAACCCCCCCTCCCCGCTCCTGTGTCAACCAATAGGACTGGGCCTTCCCCATCCACTGGAGCTGTGCAACCAATCAAAGCAGTTCCACTCTCACCAGTCACGACAGTGTCTTTTGGACCAATTAAACTGCAAAGATTTGTCTTCATTTGCATGAAGAGTGACCAATCCGGGAGCAGGGCCGGGAACTTCTGTCCATAAAAGCCAGCGCCCCCCTGGGTCTGGGTGCAGGCTGTCTCTTCCCACTGGGGAGTGGAGGCTTGGGCGTGTGCCCTTGACCTGAGCCGAACCGCGGAGGGCGTCTTGGTGGGAGCACAGTGGACCAGGGCAGAGCAGGGCTGTCCGGCCAGAGAGGGGCCTGGCCCCAGGGCCGCTTGACAGCGGTATTCTGGTACCGTTGAGCTGTTGGCACAGAACAAAGCTCCTCTCACCGCACCCCAAACCGGGGATTCTTGTTGGATTCAGATGGGTGCCAGTGGCCGCCCGCTGACCCTGGAGTGGACAGCCATCGCGGAGATGCTTAGTGACACAACTCCGGTGTCCGCACAGCACGGGCGGCTGGTGGCTGTTGTGGGGTTCAGGTCTCTGCGTGGGGCCTCCCGGCGCCTGCTGCCCCTCTGGGGTTTCAGGGCGGCACCTGGGTGCCACGGTGCCGGCATCAGCCCGGGTCCCGTGAAGGCCGCTCCAGGCGGGGCGCACCGGTCTTTGTCAGGGAAGGTGCTGGGCGGGGCTGCCCCTCTAATCTTTCTCTTCCTGACGACGGTTTTCTCGCACTTCCCGAAGGGCGCCCCGAAACCCCCGGGAGCTCCGTGCCGCTCCTCCGTGTTCCCCGGCCCCGGCTCCGCCTCCCACGACGAGCTGGCCCGCACGCCGGGCAGCCAGGAGTCCGTCCCCCCGAGGGGCAGCCCCGAGAAGTGGGAGTCGCTGCGGGACAGCGCCAGCGATGCGGGCAAGGGGCTGGACGACCGGTGGGGGAACCTGGACAGGTACATCCTGGGCAGCGAGACCCACTCCGAGACCAGCGCGCACAGCTTCTTCGCCGCGGTGCCCTCGCAGGACACGCTGGAGCGGAGCACCGGGCCCCGCGGCACGCTGGAGACGCTCTACAGCGAGGTGGGCTCGGACCCCGGCGCGGAGCGGCGGACGACGCAGTGCGCGGCCAGGCAGGTGGCTGGGGCGTGGGCGACAGGGCTGGGGGCCCTGTTCGGGGCGGACCTCGGGCTGGGCTTCCCTCCCTCGCTCCCCCGGGGGAGGGTGGTCACGGTGTCCGCGCCTCGTCTCGCAGAGGTCTCTTGGGGGTCTCCTGGGGCCTGGCGCTGGCGGCCCGGCTGCGACCTCCGAGGGCCAGGCAGGAGAGAGTCCGAGTGTGTCCGGACTGACACGGGGGCGGCGGGCACCACACGGGCTCATACACGCTCCCCCCACACACACCCGCCCACGGACACACACGCTGGCCCGTTCCAGTTGAGACCAGTGGTTCCTCACGAGTGTCTTGGGGTCCCTCTGGCCCTCGCAGGGAATCTGTGAGGTTGCAATGCTTCTCGCAACAACCCTAAGGCTTGTGTGACACTCACACGCACCACAGCGCCGGCTTCTCCTGGAATTTGGCCGACGCCATAGAAACGACCCATTGATTACCTCCTGACGTGGCCCCCGGGCCTCGTGGCATTCCGTGTGGCCAGATGGGAGGGCGCCTGAAGCACATGTGCCTCAAACCACGGTTGGCGGGTCTGGGGGGAGAGCACGTCTGTGGCGTGACTGCACACGAGCCGCTGTCCCCTCCCCACGGGTCACCGCGTTTGCCGAACAGAACGACCAGACGGCCCGCGGCGGCCACTCTTCTGAACGCGACTAGCTCTCGCTTTAAGGACAGTGGACACTGCCGGCAGTGACGAGGTCCCCGCCTCCCCGTGAGAACGGGAGTTCCGAGTGTCCACACCCTCGCGTGGTGCCTGAGACGCGTGTCGGCCTGGGGTGACCTCAGGCCGTGTGTCTGCAGGGCCCGGCTGGACCTCGAGGGCGCGCCCCCTCCCCAGAGGGGCTGGTGGGGGTCAGGGGGCTCTGGGGCAGCCGAGGGCGTTCTCCACAAACACGTTCCACGTTAACACGCGCTGGGATCACAGCTGTTAGTTTTTACATGTATCAGTAAGTGTTTTTGAATTTCTCCGTTTTCTTGGATTGGTAATAGAGTAGACATGGATGGATCGAATCCATGTAAAGAAAAGCTCTCTGGGGTCTTCAAGGAATTTTAAGAGTGGCAAGGGGTCCCGAGAGCGGGAAGTTCGAGAACCGCTGCTCTGGACTGACCCCACCCCTGCTCCGCCCTCCTGCCCGCCCCACCCTCGTTCTGTGCTGGCGGTGGGGCGGGCAGGACGGGGCGGGGGCGGGGGGTGGTCCTCCGCCGGCTGTGCCCTTGCCACCCTCACTGCGGCTCGGCTCCTCGGCACAGCCTCAGCCTCTGCACTGCCCCCCACCCCGGTGGCCCCGCCCCCGCAGCTGGCCTCTCAAGGCTGGGGGCTCTGCCCAGCTCCCCCCCGACCCTCTGTGCACCTCGTGAGAGACATGCACGCATGTGCACGCCGGTGTGTATGCACGCCTGTGAGTGGCATGTGTGCGTGCACACGTGTGTGTATAGGGTGTGGGGGAGTGCCGTGTCTGGTGTGCGTGGTGCTCGGGGCTCTACATTCTCACCTCACAGCTCCCAGGAGAGGGGGCTGGTCCCCACCCCACACTCCGCCTCTTGGTGGCCTCAGTGGGCCTGAGGGGCCCCTGAATTCTGAAGACAAGCGCAGCCGCCGCCGGACTAGCACCTGGCCGGGCTGGCTCACCTAGGGTGGTTAGGTGACGGCTGGGAAGCTCGGCACCAGGGGAGGGGCTGGGGGTCTCGAGAGGACAGGACCCTGAGGCTCAGGACATCACGACCAGGGCCAGTGCCTCCCAGGCCTCTGCCCGGGGAGCACCCGTCGCCACCGGGGCTGCTGTCCAGGCAGCTGCCCGTGCCTCCCCTCCGGCCGGTGACCACGCCCTGCTGACCCTTCCAGAGAGAGAAACATGTGGCTGACCATCACCCTCCTGCTGCACCGAGGCGCCGACCCCAACCTGTGCCGAGTGCCCATGCAGGTGCTGTTCTTCTGCGTGAAGGCCGGCGACGTGGACGGGGTGCGGACGCTGCTGGAGAACGGGGCCAGGACCGACATCCGGTTGCCTGATAAGGTGGGGCCCCCGGGGCGGGGCTGGGGGGTCCGGGGGGTGCGGTGGGAGGGGCCAGCTGACTGGCAGGGGCCGGCAGTTCTGCTTCGCCTCCACGTCAGAGCTGGTGGCTCCTGCCGCTCCGGCCCCGCGGCCGGGCCCTGAGAATGAGGGCCGGCGGTGCAGGGAAGCAGACTGCGTGTGGGGCTCAGGGTGTGTTTCCCGATGGGACTGGGACTGCATTTTTAAAGCTGCGGTTACAGCCTTCTTCACACTCAGCACAGACTTCCTCCCTTCCTTCTTCCGCCCACCCATCCATCCGTCCATCCACCCACCCACCACCCATCCATCCACCCATCATCTATCCACCATCCACCCACCTACCCACCCAACCAACAATCCACCCACCCACCCACCCATGCATCCACCCCCCCACCCCCACCCATCCATTTGTCCATCTATCCATCCGACCACCCACCCACCCACCCATCCATCCACCCATCCATCCATCATCCATCCACCCCCCCCCCACCCCCCCCCCACCCCCCCTACCCATCCACCCACCATCCATCCATCCATCCACCTATCCACCCACCCACCCACCCATCCACCCGTGCACCCACCCACCCGTCCACCCACCATCCACCCACCCATCCATCCATCCACAATCCATCCACCCACCAATCCACCCATCCACCCACCCACCCATCCACCCGTGCACCCACAATCCACCCACCCATCCATCATCCACCCACCACCCATCCATCCACCCGTGCACCCATCCACCCGTCCATCCGACCATCTGTCCATCCTCAATGCAAGGGTCAGCTCTTGATCTACATGCACCGTTCAAACGGAGGCTCTGCTCAGTGGAGACGCCCGTGTGGGCAGCCGCGCCTGAGCGACGCCCCAGCACCCTTCCTCCGGGCCCCTCCCGTTTCCCTGGGGCCCTGCTCCAAGGGCTGCCCAGCCCTGCACCCGGCCCGACCTGCACTGTGCTCCCCGCTGGGGTCTCGCTCCGAGTGGGCTGTGCCCCTCCAGGCCCCCCGGGCCACCTCCATGTGGTCAGTGCTGACCAGGCATCCCAGACACAGTCCAGCAGGGACTCTCTCGGCCAAGGGGAGGGGGCTGCCGCGAGTGCACACCAGGCCCCGTGGGGCTGGGTGTCCGGGCTGCAGGGCCGTCCCGTCCTCAGGGCACCTGAACAGGGGCCTGGCAGGAGGACAGGCTTTTCCTGGAGGGAGGCCGGCGGGGACTGTCGGTCCGGCGTGAAGCTGAAGCCTCGGGCCCTGCACTCCTGCCTGTGGCCCTGGCCGACGGAAGCCCCTTGCCAGCGGGAACACACGTGTCTGTGGTCAGCGTGGGCTGTGGGCAGGCTCACGGCCCGGGGGGAGGCGGGGAGGCCCTCCCCGCCCTGCCGAGGGGGTCGGGGGGTCGCTCACCCAGGAGCAGCGCCCTCACCCTCCCGGCGTGCCCCCCGCACGCAGCTGGGGGCCCTGACCCCCCTCCACATCGCCGCAGCGCTCCCCGGGTCGGAGGGCGTCAGGATAACAGAGCTGCTGCTTCACACGATCACGGACGTGGATGCCAGGGCCACCGACCAGGACCACGTGTACAAACGGGACAAGGTGCGCGGCCGCCACGCAGGAGGGCGGGGCACCAGGGGAGGGGTTCGGGGGAGGCTGCCTCAGGCCCTCGGCCTGGGGGGCAGGGCCACCGGCTCCTCCTCCTCGCACGCACGCTCCTCTGGGGGCGGCCGCACGCCTGCGGGGGCCCATGGCACTGCGGGGGCTCGGGGCCCGGCCTGGGTGACGGGGAGGGGCTCGGGCCCGACCGGGCCGCTCTGTCTGCTCGCAGCTGGACATGCTGCTGCCTTCGAGCCTGAAGCTCAACGGCGAGGTGGGCCCGCCCAGCAGCTACCACAGCGCACAGACGTCTGTCCCCGACGAGGGCGGCAGGACGCCCCTGCACGTGGCCTGTGAGCGGGAGGACAGCTACAGGGTGAGGGGCCTTCCCAGGGCTCGGGGGCTGCGCGCCGTGTGTGCACGTGCATGTTTTGTGCGGGTTCACTGGCCACATGCAGGCGAGCACCTGTGAGTGGTGTTTCCAGTCAGTGTGTGTGCATGTGTGTGCACACGTGTGTGGGTGTGTGCGAGCCCAGGAGTGTTCGCACCAGCATGCACATGCATGTTTTGTGTGTGTGTGCACTAGGTGTACGCGGGTATCTGTGAGTTGTGCTTCCAGTCAGTGTGTGTGTCTGTGTGTGTGCTCGGGCGGTGCGTGGGCACGGGGATCTGTAATGGGCAGTGGGCCAGCAGCCCTGGTGGGGGACCGGCGGGCTCAGGGGACAGCCCGTGGGGTGTCGGCCCCCAGGCCGCCCTGCCTGAGTGGGGTCCAGAGCAGGTGGGGCGACGGGTCACACCTGCAGAACTGCAGCACCCCGGGTTAAAACAGCGGGGAACCTCGGGGCGCTGCCTGTGACTGGTGTGTCCCCGTGTCACTCCAGAGTGTGTTTTAGGGACACTCATCGGCAGGTCACCTGTGTGCGCAAGGGTCACAGTGTGACCTCACTGTCTCAGGCAGGGCCTGCTCACATGCGTGTGGGCGTGGCTGTCCTGGGCGGGAACGCCCGGTGCCCCTCCCACCCTGCTGTTCTGCCCCACCCGCCCCTCCCAGGCAACCTTGGGGTTGAGGCCAGCAAGAGGCAACTGGGTGGTCAGGGTGGGGTGGGGGACGTGGGAGCTAGTCCTGGGCTGTGCGGGGCTGTGGCCAGAAAGCCGCTGCGCCTCAGTTTACCCGCCCGTAAAACGACGACCAGGGCCGCTCCAAGGGCTGTAGTCTGGGCAGTTGGCCGCCTCGCAGGATGACGACCCCCAGTGCCGCCCTGACCCGACGGCCCGAGGGCCTGTGTGAGGGAGGTGCCTGGTGATGCCGGAGCCGGGGGCAGGGGCGGGGGGGCACCTTCAGGCCTCCCTGCTTCCGAGCAGCTCCCTCGTCAAAGCCTCCTGGGGCCGGGGCCATGCCCTGACCAGAACCTCCTGAGGGGCACCCTGAGTCCACGCTAGGAGCAGGGACAGCTGGGCTCTGCCAATTTCCGGTTTGGATGGGCTCCGGGGGAGCAGAGTTGGGGGCGCTAGAGGCCGCACCCTCGTGGGGTCACAGACAGGCGGCCAGGGTGGAACCCCAGGGCTGGGCTGTGGGGCGGCAGTGGGGCGGGCGGGCGGGGCGGGGAAGCTTTCCCGGGAGTCCGGCCTGGCCAGTGAGGCTGCGCAGAGGGAGCTGGCTCAGCTGGGGGCCAGTCCCCCCCTGCCCGCACTCTGGGGGAGGGGGGAGGAGGGAGGAGGAGGGGACCCCGGGTTCCCGTGGGGAGGGGGAGGGCGGGGTGTGTGAGCAGGAAGTCTCGTGTCGGCCCCGCTGACCGGCGCTCCCTGGCTGTGTCCCGGGCCGCAGCCCCGGGGAAGGCCCGTCCCCCGGCCGCGCAGGCTCCGCACTCGCTGCCCAGGCGGCCGCAAGGCCCCCCGACTCTCCTCTCCCTTTGAACACGAGCTCTAACTGGATCGCTGCGTCGGCGGCCCTCCTGTTGCTCATCGGAAATGGCGACCTGTTAGAAAACACATTTTCAGTGGGAGGGTCCACTCGCACCGTCCACCCGCCCGTCACTCCGCCTGGGGTGCGGAGCCGCGCGGGGCCGGGGGCTGGGGAGGGGGAACCGGGGCGGGGGGGAGGGGGTCGGTCTCAGCGCGCCCCGCGGCCCGCTCGGGACTCAGGCCCCTCCCCCCTGTCGCCCCGCCCTCCCCCCCCAGTACGCCCGGGACGTGGTCCAGCTGCTCCTCGCCCACGGGGCCGACACCAGCCTGCTGTGGAGCGGCCACTCCCCGCTGTCCCTGTCCATCGCCAGCGGGAACGAGCTGGTGAGCCCGCCCTGACCCCCCCCCCGACCCCGCTCTGACCCCGGCGGGCTCCGACGGCGCGGCTCCTGCGGGTCCCCCTCCGTGGGTGGGGGCACCGCGGCCGGCGGCGGCCCAGAGACGGCAGGGTGCCGGGGCACAGACCCCTCCGCTGTGGGCGGGGCTCCTTGGAGAGAGCAGGGTGACCGGAGGGGGGACGGGCGGCCCGGGCGGAGGCTCCCTCCGGGGGCCATATCACAGCCCTGCCCGGGCCAGGCGGGGGCCCCGGGGTGCTGGGGGGAAGGCGCATGGGCCAGTTCCCACCTCCCGCTGCCTCCAGGGGACGAGCTCACTGCTCATCCGGCCACCGGTCCCTCCGTCCATCCGTCTGTCCTCCCTCTTCTCCGTCTGAGTCCCGCCCACCGGCTCGTCCTTGTGTTTAACTGCGGCTTTCGGAGCATCTGCCGCGGGCCGGGCGGGCGCCCCCCAGGCCTGAGACGCGGAGTAAAACCCAGTCTCCGCCCCCAGGGGCTCACAGTCTAGCAGGGAAGGCAGGCCGCCGCCCGTGTGGGACGGACGCGGGTTTAGGGGATGGGCGGCGCTGGGAAGAGAACAGGGGTCAAGGGCCGACCGAGGGCGGAGGCCGGCCCCTCCAGCAGGACGGCCAGAGGGCTCTCGGGGGAGAGGACCCTCCAGCAGAGGCTGAAGGAGCGGCAGGCGGGGCCCTGGCGCCTTCCGCCCCCCTTCCCCAGTGAGAGCTTCACGGCCCCTGCTCCTGCTGCGGGGCGGCGGGGATGGGGGTCGCAGGGGGTCGCAGGACGGGCAGCCCAGGGAGCCCGTTTGGAGCAGGGCCCCCAGGGGGCCGAGTGCTGGAGCTGCTCCTGCTCAGGGCTCCCCACGCAGCCCGGGCTGGAAGCTGGGGACACAGCAGGTGACAAGGGCAGCTCTCGGCGGCCGCTCCGCGTCCGGCCAGGTGCTCGCAGAGACGCAGGTGGCCCAAGGCGGAGGCAGACTGGTCCCAGGGGCGAGGGGACAGCCGTGGGGCGCCGCCTGCTCCTGGCACAGACAAGACAGGGGACAGGGTGGCCCCCCCAGAGGAGCCACCGTGCGCCCCACCCCCATCTGCTCTGAGCCAGCAGCAGGCAGAGGGCGAGCCCCAGGGTGGCTCCCAGGAGCCCCTGCTGCAGCTGACACAACAGTGGCCTCACCCCGGGCACCTCCGGTGCAGGCAGGGGCCTGGTGGGCGCTGGCCGGCTGACCAGCCCGTCTGTGTCCAGATTGTGAAGGAGCTCCTGGCCCACGGCGCAGACCCCAACCTGCCCCTGACCAGAGGCTTGGGCAGCGCCCTGTGTGTTGCCTGCGACATCTCCTACGAGCACCGCAGGGGCACGGACAGCAAGCTGGCCCTGGTGAGTGGCCGGGCGCACGGGGGGGGCGGGGACCCAGGTGTTGGGGCCCTTGGCGGGGCCTCCTCCCCACAGACGAGCACCGTGTGCTCTCGCTCTGTGTCCCGCAAGCCCCGACGCTCCAGGGTCTTAAAGTAGCGAGAAGTCTGGCCTTTTGAAATGCGCGGGTCTAACGTGTGTCCCGGGACGTCGGCACTCGGCGGGCCAGAAGTCCCCTGGTTTGTCTCGGGAAAGACACAGGCCCCGGTTTGACCCGGTGGCAGGATTCTAGATTTTTCTATCCTGGGTGAGTGTCAGCCAGGGATCCGGACGAGGCGCCCGCTGGGCTGGGGTCCGAGCGCCGCGTCCCGGGCTGCACTGCAGCGGCCCCTGCCGGCGCCGTCTCCACCCGCTGCCACCGAGAGGCAGCCGCTGCAGCGCCCGCTCACCGGCAGACAGCGAGGTGGACGCTCCGCGGCGGAGACTCGCACCGCGCCCACTCCTCTGGGCTCGGACTGTAGCGCGGGCTCAGTCAAAAACCACGGGAGAACGCTCGGGGCTGGCAGGAGGGCCCGGAAGCCTCGGGTGGCCCAGGCCACAGCGAGGGGGCCATTGGGGGCTCGGACGCCCCAGCGCCGGACCCTGCCGCGGGCCGGCCACAGCGTGTCTGACGCAGCCCCGCCCCCTGCAGATTGACCGGCTCATCAGCCACGGGGCCGACATCCTGGCCCCCGTGACCATCACACAAGGGGACAAGGTGGCTGTGGGCACGGCGGTGGACTACGGGTACTTCAAATTCTTCCAGGTGCGGCTCTGAGTTCCTTGGTGGGGGGAGGGGAGCATGTGGAGCTGGGCCCTTCAGCATCCCTTGGGCAAAGCTGGGCCAAAGGTCCCTCACACCTCGGACCAGAGCGCGTCCCGGTCCTTCTGGGAGAGAAGACCCAGCACCCAAGGGTGTCCGTGCAGGCGTGGCTGCTGTGTCTGGCTTTCAGAGTGCTCTTCTGGTTTGTCCTCACAACGAGCCCTGAGAGCGGAGGTGTGGTCCCCGCCCCCAGTACGCCTCCCAGGGGAACAGGCCAGGCGGGAGTGGGACCCGCCCCCCTCCCAGGGGCGGGGCTGCCTCCCGCGGTGACGGGCGCCGGCCGTGCCGCAGGACCGGAAGGTCGCCCACTGCCCCTTCCACATGCTGATGCCGGCGGAGCGGGAGGCCTTCCTGGCCCGGAAGCGGCTCCTGGAGTATCTGGGCGTGCAGCTGCGGCGCGCCGTCCTGGCCAAGGAGAGCCAGTGGGACCCGAAAGTGCTGTACCTGAGCAAGAGAGGTGGGTGGCCGCCGGCGGAGCCAGGCCGAGTTTCCTGACGATCGTGGGGTGCGAGCGGCGGGGACAGGAAGGGGCACAGCGCGGACCTGTCCTGTGGCTGCCCAGGCCGCCTACTGGGCCAGGGTCAGCTGGCCCTTGTGTCCGGCCCTCCCAGGAGGTCGTGCAGGAGCGGATGAGGGTGAGGGGGCAGTCCCAGGAGAACCTCAGGCCGCACACACCGTGGGAGCACGGCCGGGAGCCCCGTGTTTGTCCGGGAACGCCGGCCCGGCTGCCGTGGGGTGGGGGCGCAGCGCCCAGGAGGGCCGAGGCGCTGCCTGAGCTGGCGGAGGCGCTGCGGGGGTCCTTGCCCCCCGGAGGCCTGGTCCAGGGGCACCCCGGCCTGGGCTTCCCCCTCCCGAGGGCAGGGGCCCGGGGACAGGCGAGAAGGACTCCAGGACACGGCAGGCCTGGCGCCCGTGGTCCCCGGGCGGACGGGCCAGCGCTGCGGGAGGAGGGAAGGGGACCTGCTTGGTGCTCTGCTTCGTGAGCCCCCCCCCGCCCCCCCCCGTCCAGGGGCTGAACCGGGGCCCCTGCCAGTGTCTGGGGCCCCTCCTGTCCCAGGGAGCGAAGGCCTGGGCCGTCCGCCACCAGCAGGTGGCAGAGCCCGTCCCAGGGAGCCGGGTTTGGGGCAGCACTGGCGGGAGTGGCTGCGGGGTTGCTGGACGCAGGGAAAGGGCCCGTGGTTCTGGAAAGATCCGGAACACGCCGTCGTGCTGCTCATGGGAGCCGGTTGCGTGGCTGCAGCGACGTTTTGTCCGGCTCGCTGCAGAGAATCAGGCTCAGGGGGAGACCGCGGGGGCCCACGCCGGGTGTCCTCCCGGGAGGGGGACGGCGCGTCCCTGGAGGAGGACCAGCCCCTCGGTGGCTCCGGTCAGCCACCAGTCTCTCCTCTGCGCGACGGAGCGCTCCTCGTCCCAGGCCCAGGACGGCGGCCTCCTCAGCTGCGCCGCCGAGGGGCCCGGGGGCCGGACGGGAGCTGCACGGGACGGGCGGCAAGGACCAGAGGGCACCTTCTCAGCCCCATCGAGGCGCCGGCAGACCCCGCAGCTGGAGTCGGACTCGAACGGTGGAGGCCAGGCGTTCGCGCCCCGAGGTCAGGAGGGGGCGGCGGAGCGTGTGCTCCCAGTGTTTCTGCGCCATGGCGTGCCGCGGCCGTCAGCCGGGGCGAACAGGCGCGGACGAAGGGAGACGCGTCCGAGAGGGAGAGGAAAAGCTGAGCTCCGTGTGCGGGTGTCCTCGCGCGGAGCGGACATCCCGGGAGTGCACTTTGAGACCGGAAACGGGCGTTACGTTGTTGAACTAAACACGTATAAATGTTGAAACACTAACTTAACTGTGAGGCCCATCCACCATGGGAACGGTGAGTGCCTGTGGCAAGGTCGTGGGGCGAGGCCGCAACACACAGACGCCGTCTTCAGCGCCTCTACACGGCACGGCCGCCGTGCACAAGCCACAAGTGAGGCGTAAAAAACATCCCCGTCCGTAGTGACATTGGGACGAGCGAAAAGCTTACGTGCGTGTGCAACAGGAGCCGTGTAAAACTCACACTCTGAGAACCACGGAACACTGCTGGGCGCCCGCCCTGGCCAGGGAGGCTCAGCCGGCCGGAGCGTCGCCCCACAGCCCGAGGGGTCTCGGGCGTGACTCCCAGTCAGAGCACACACGGTGGCTGCGGGTTCGATCCCCCGTCCCGGTGCACACGGGAGGCAGCCAATCAGTGACTCTCTCTCACGTTCATGCTTCTCTCGAAAGAAAAAGCAATGGAAAAACATGTCCTCAGGTGAGGAGAAAGAATGAAGGGAAAAGAGGGAAAAAAAGAAATGAAAGGAACCTCAGTCAACGGAGAGCCACCTCCTTGTCAGAATTCCGGCTGATTTCTTGGTACGAAGGGAGAAGCTGGCTCTAAAATCCGTGTGGAAATGCACGAGTCCCAGAGCAGCTAAAACACCCTTCGAGCAGAAGCAGCACTTTGAAGGACATCCCCAGTTTTGAACTGACCGCGAGACGACCGTCACCGGCGCTCAGCGCCGACAGCGACAGCGTGGCGCTCGCGTGATAGCCACACGCAGGCCAGCGGACCGGACACAGGAGGAGACCACGCGCTCACACCCAGGTCCTCACGGGGTGGGGACAGCCGTCTCTCCCACAAACGGGGCCGAGACACCGGGTTGTCCGAACCCCAAAGAACGAAACCTGACCCTCACGCCGCACGTAAAAATTAACTCCATTTGGATCGAAGCCCCGAACTATGAAGGGCTCATCTGAAAAACTCCTGGAGGGAAACACGGACGTGATTCCTCGGACGGGGCAGCAGACCCACAGACACGACACGGCCAGCGTGAGCCGTGGAAAACAGGTCATTTGGACATCGTCGGAATTAACTTTTTTTTTTTTCATTTCAAAAGACGCTTGAAAAAACGACAAGGCGACCTACGGGAGACCACACACCTGGCCGGGAACGCCTGTGTGGAGTGAACTGTCACGGTGGCTCTCAGCAGCTGGTCTCAAGACCAGCGGGGGAGTCGGAAACCGCGCAGAGAGGGGAACGGGAGTCGGGGGGGGGGGGTGGAGTGAGGGCGGGGCCCAGGGGGGGTCTGGAGACCGAGGAACCACCAGGCCTGCGGCTCCTCAGCCCGTGACGGCCCCCCGGGGGTGACTGGGGCGATGTCACTCCCAGCGCCGGGGCCCCAGCGGAGATGGCACTGCCGTCCGCACAGCTCAGCTCGGCTCGGCCTGGAGACCTCGGCCACGGCACGTCTGCAGGGCAGCCTGGGAGCTGGCGGGCGGGGCGGACGGGGCGGAGGGTGCTGTCCCGGCAGGAGCCACACCTCCGTCGCTCAGACCTGACGGCAGCACCTGGTCTGGCACCTGCCTCGGAGGCTGCGCCCTTCGTCCGTGGATGACAGGAGCCCCTGGGGCCCCCCGGAGCACGGCTCCTCCTCGGCCCCAGGCCTTGGGCTGCCGGCTGAGGCCGTCAAGTCCCAGGACACAGCCCCCCAACCCGAGCCGAGATGAAGCCAGGGGCTCAGGGATGGAGTCGGTCCTAGTCAGGTCCGCAGCCACGCACAGGTTCTTTAGAGAAGGGCGTGTGCGCGGACCCGGCCCACGAGCCCGGGAGGAGAGGCCCCGTGTCCTGGGTCACCGGCCGCCAGCAAACGGAACCGCGTAGCGACGTCGCTTCACGCCCAGCAGCCTGGCCGCAACCCCACACACGCGGTCGGTGAGCGGGTGGAGAGGGGAGGGGCCCCGTGTGACCCAGCCAGTCCGCTCCTGGCTGTGCGCCCGAGACGTGAACGCATGTCCCCCACACTGGACATGTGTGTTCATAGTGTGTTCACAGCAGCCAGACAGGAATGGCCCGCCTGTGCGTCCACAGACGGACAAATAGACAAGCGCGGCGAAAGCAGGGACCCTCGCTGCGGTGTGGAGGGCCTCGGACATGCGACGCCCGGTGAGCATGCGGTCACAGAGGGCTGCGTGTCCACCGAGGTGCCTGCAAAGGCAACGCCACGCAGACCAAGGAGACCGTGGTCGCCGGGGGCCAGGGGCCGGGCGTGACGGCCGTCCGGGGGCTGCAGCGCTCTCGGGGGCACACAGGGCGCAGCTCGGCCAGGCCGCGGGGACGAGTCCGCCCCTCCCCTTCCCTCAGCGCCTCCCAGGGGCACCGGGTGGGGCTGCGGCGCCAGGCCCGCCCCCGCGTCCTCCATCGTCACCCCTCCCAGGGGCCTCCCCGCACCGCGTGGCCCTCAGAACACGGCCTGACCACGTGTGCACTGGGGGCCCCGTGCTCGTCGCCACGGCAGCCCGAGGGGCGGCCTGCATGGCGTGGGCACCGGGGGAGTGGGGTGAAGGAGGGTGCCCACCTTCCCGCCCTTGTGGCCGGAGGTGTGTCCTGCGGGGTCCTGCGTTGGGGGGGGCGGCAGCGGCTGCGTGGCCTTCGGGGGGGGCGGTGACGAGTAAAGGAGGAGAGGACAGGGCAGGGCACGTGGCGGGAACCCTGGGGCTGCTGTGGGGCCCACGGCCCTCCAGTCGCCTGCCGGCCTGCCGTGCACAACCCCCCTCCCCTGCCGTGGCTGGCAGGCGTTCCCCTCCCCCGCAGAGGGGGCCGTGCGCTGGGCCAGACCAGAGAAGCCTGGAGCCGCCCTGTGCTGAGGGGCGCCCTGAGCTGATCGCTGGCACAGAGGAAGGGCGATCGGGGGGAGACTGCGGAGGGCGGGCAAGCGCGCAGGAGCGGACAGAAGTCCCCCAGGCTGTGGACACCCCAGCGTCCCCAGACCAAGCCCCCCTCTGCCTCCTGGGACCTGCCATGGGCTGTCCGTGGTGCCTGAGTGGGCTCGCTGCCCGAGGGTGGTCGAGGCAGGCAGCCCAGAGCGCCCTCCCCCCACGGGGGGGCCTCAGGGGCTCACGCGGTCTCTCCCCACGCGGGCACAGCGGAGCTGACCCCCTGCTTCCGGCTGAAGCAGAAGAGCTCCTACCTGCCGAAGGCGCTGCAGCCAGAGGAGCTGGAGCTGTGAGTGGCTGGCGGGGCCCCGCCCACCGTGGGCGTGCTGGGATGGGGCAGCGGGAGCCGCAGGGCACCTTGGGGAGCCCCTCCATGTCCTGGGGGGACGGCCGGGCGGGAGATGGGTGCCGTCCCATGGACCCTGTGCCTCACCCCCCCTCCCAGCTCCTCCACCTTGTGGGCACGGCTCTGCCCCCACCCTGCTCTTCCAGAGGTGTCTCCACATGCCGTGTCACCCGTCCACAGCACCCTGGGGCGCGGGGCAGGGTCGGTGGGTGGGGGCTAGTGGGGACGCGCCTGCCCGGGCTCACTTTCCTTCTGACGAGGAGGAGGGCAAGGGTGTGCGGGGCTGACCCACACCCGCGGGTCTGCTCGGAGCTGCTGCTCCCGTGAGACACAGGAACCCTCCCCACGGGGCGGCAGGTGGGGCCCCCTGCCCCCTGCCCCCCCGGCCCAGCCCCTGCGGCCAGCTCTGGGGTGGGGGCCTGGGCCTGGCGCTGGCTCCCTGCTCTGAATGGCGCTGTGCTGGACGCCCCCGCACGGGTCTTCCGGTCTCTGTCCTCGGGTGGAGGATGTGGGGTGGGCCTGGGTGTGGGGCCCGGGTGTGGGGCCTGGGGCGGGGGGGGGGCAGGCACCGCCCGACGCCCCCGTGGCCCCTGGCAGGATCCCCTTCTTCAAGTTCTGCTACCAGTGCGGCCGCTCCGTGGGGGTGCGCCTGCAGCCCTGCAACCGCTGCTACGGCATCCTGACCTGCGGCAAGACCTGCAAGACCAGGGCCTGGAGCGAGTTCCATGGCAAGGACTGCGGTGCCCTGGCCGCCCTGGGTGAGTCCCCGAGGCCCCAGGTGGCAGGGACAGGAGGGCAGGGGGCCGGCCCCGCCTTCCTCCCCACCCGGCGGATGCCACGTTCCGAGCACCACGGCTCCTGGGCGGGCCTGCCTGGGCGCCCCCGGACACCCGGCCCCTGGTGGACTCAGGCTCCCCCGGACCCCACGCGCTTGGTGGCCCTGGGGCTGCGGCGGGCAGGCTCCTCCCCGCCCGCCCGCCCTCCCAGGCGGCTCTAGAGGTCGGCGGCGGCGGCGGCCGCCCTGGGAACTCCGCCCCCCGCCCCTCCCCCGGGGTGAGCCGAGCCCGGCCCCCTGGCAGGCGGACACCGGAGCTGGCAGACCGTGCCCCCGACGTGGACCCTCTGAACTCTGACCCTCGCCGTCCCCTCCGTCCCCCCCTCGGTAACGCGGGCATCTAGGAAAGGCTGGCGGGGAGGGCGGCCGCCCGGGGCCTGCCCTCACGGCCCGCTCCGCCAGTTCTCTCGCCAGGGTCCCGCCCGCAGGAAGAGAGCTCGGGGGCAGAAGACTCCCCGTGAAGGAGCGGAGCCGGCCGCGCCGGGCCACCTGCCGGGGCCGGGCTGGGCGGGCGGGAGGGGGGCTCCCTGGGCCGCACGGGCCTGACTCGGGGGTCTGCCCCCGCCGGGGGGCCTGGCAGCACCTCCCTCGGGACCTGGCAATAAACCGGCCCCCGGGCCGTGTTCTGGCCCTGTCTGTGCCGCGGCGCTGCCTGCGCGCCCGTCCCTGAGCACGCCAGGGCTCCTTCGGGCCGGCGCGGGTTGGGCCCGCAGTGGAGGGGGCAGCGGGAGGGGTCCCTGTGCTCTGGGGGCGTTTGGGGGCCTCGGAGGAGCCCACAGCCGGCCCCCCACACCCGCTGAGCAGGGGGCGTCTCAATCACTGGGGCTGGAGTGTTCGCTGGTGGTGTTGTCGTGGTGGGGGGGTTGACAGTGGATGGGAAAAGGCCGGACTGGGGCGGAGGAGGACGACCACGGTGACCACGAGTGCAGGGGGCCTGCCCCGGCGGATGCCGCGTGGGGGGGGCTGCGTGGGGGGGGCCACGGGGCGTGAGCGCCCGTCCTCAGGCTGTGCAGGGAGGGCACGGGGGCCAGTCCGGCTGCCCAGCACAGGGTGGTGGGCGCAGGGGCCTGGGGCAGCGGGGCAGGAGCCTGTGGGGGCCCCACCCGCAGCGTGGCTTTGCACGGCTTCTTCCATGGGCTCCGGAACTCACCCGGAAGTTTGCGGGGGGGGGGGTGCCCAGGCCGTGCGTGAGGAAGGAGCAAGGAAGCCCCCCAGGTGGAGGGGCGGGACCCCGTGCCACTCCGGAGCCAAGCGCTGTCCCCTGGCCACAGCCCCCAGTGGGGCCACGGGCAGCCAAGTAATGTGCCCCCCTCGGTGGGGGCGGGGCCCTGGTAGGGGGCTGGGGTGTGGACCCAGGCTCCCAGGACCCCTGCCAGCGGGGAAGGCGCTCGGGTTGGGGACCGCGAACCCTCCCGCACCGTGGTTGTGTGCACAGGTGCGTGTGCGGGAGAGCGGGGGCGACCGCGGTCCCCACCCCCGGAAACGGCCACGGCGGACACGCGGTGTGTCCTGGCAGCCCCTCTGTGCAGGCGCCCACGCACACACATGCCCACGTGCACACACGCGCGCACACACACGTGGCTGACAGTGTCCCGCCAACCCCCGACTGTAGGCACACACACACGCACACACGTGTGCACTGGAAAGCGAAAGCGTGGTCTGTGTGTTGTAAACGAAGCCACAAACACCTTTCTTTGCTGCTGTTTTCCAGGACGTAGTTTCCCGGGTGCGGTTTTATTTTCTGCGCGGGGCCCCGGCGCTGCCCCTTGCCGGGGAGACAGCGTCGAGACAGGGGGGACCGCCCCGACCTCCCACTCAAGGACGGGCGTCCCGAGTGTGCTCTTCCCCGGGCGGGGGGGGCCTGCACGTGGCCGCACACGCGTGTTCATCCGCAGCGCCCCGCACACCATGCCTCTCCACGCCCCGCTGCCTTTCCCTTCAGTGATGGCGGCTTCGCGACCACGCCCCGCCTGCCCCACGCCCCGCCCGGGGCCCGTCTCCCGCACGCGGCTGCCCGGCGCCTGGTCGGTGGGCGTCACGTTCGTTGTCTCTCGCGGTCGTCCCCCGCGGCATGGACCCGGCTCCGTCGGCCTCCGGCGGGCGCGCAGAGGGCTGGTTCCCGGGCGCCAGGAGTCCCCCGTGGGCGCTCAGGGGGGTCGCAGCTTCTCTCCGGCCTCCCGAGGACTCCATGCGGGTGAGAATGCCCCCCCACGCGTGACGTGGTGCCTGTGTCCCCGCCCTTCAGGGTGTGAGGACTCTTCCCGACACGTGTGGGTCCCCCGGAGTGCGGCACCCGCCTGAGTCCTTGGCGGCTGGGGCACCTTGATTCGCTGGGGGAGGGGGGTCCCCTGCTCAGTGCTCCTGCCTCTGCCTGACCTTGGGGGTCTGCGTGCTGGGGACTGAGGCCGCCACGCTCCCCGCCCCCGCGAGACCATGCAGGGTGCAGCCAGCTCCTCACGACTCCCGCGCCGTCTCTTCCACCTGGGAGCTTTGAGCCGCTCGGGACTCTTCCTGCGCGAGGGGTCGGCGCCCCGCAGCCAGGGACGGCCCCGAGCTCGGGGTGCTGTGGGGTGACCTGCACTTGGGGCCGTCCCCACAGACTCATCCCATGAGACGCACGTGCTGCCGTGGGCGCTGGCTGGGAGGGGGCGGGTCTTGCTGGGCCTCCTCACGCTGGTTTGGTGGGGGCGCAGCCGGCCGGTCCCCAGGGCCGCCTCCCGGCGGCGGCGGGTGTCGCGCGGAGTCTGACGGCGTCTCTCACGGGGGCTCCTCGTGTCCCCTGCTCGCTCCCTCGCCTGCTCACCTCACGTCCAGTCGTCCAGTCCCTTCGGGGCGTCCGCTCGGCTCTTCCTGATCCAGCCGCTTCCGAAACCCCCGCCCCCCCGCCAGCCCGCCCACCGCCACTCCCCCTCTGCTCGGCCCCGCGGTCCCCGGGCACCAGCGCCGCAGAGGCCGCCCCCGTGTCCACGCACGGGGCGTCCCGTCACAGCCCCGGCCGCTCCGCCCACCTCACCCACCCCCCACCGCCCGATGCCCCGGTGCCAGGCTGTGCCGCGCCTGCCTGGGGCCCTCTCGCCTGCCTCGCCCACATGGGTGCCACAGTCCTCTCCCCCTGGGTCCCCCTGTGCGGTGAGCCCTTGCGCTGAGGACCCGGAACGCCGTGGAGGGCAGCGAGGCGGGAGCCCCGCTCTCTGGGGGGCGGGTGTTACCAGGCCCCCCCCCCGGGCAGCGCAGAGAGGGCCCTCAGCACCCACTGGTGGGACGCCCCGGCCGGCAGGCCCCCGGGCCCACCTCCCGTCTCCCGCCCACCCTGGGGGACACCTGCGGCCGCGGCCGTGTCCTCGGCCTGTGTCCCGTGCTCCGGGTGGCAGTCGGTGGCTCCCGGCCCTGCAGACACCCGTCCCCGCCTGTGCGTCCCCGGCACCCGTGGCTTCTTTGCCCCCGCACGGCACGGGGGCGGGGCTGTGCCGAGTTAGGTGGCAGTGGCAGGGCAGCTCATGACGTCTGGGGAGCATGCTCAGGCATCGACTTCTTAAGGGACACAAGGCTCCCATCCTCCGGTTGTCACGGCAACGCCAGTGGCTCCAGCACAAGCCTGTAACTGTCTTCGTCCTTGTGGACGGGGTGGTTTCTGTGTTTCTGCTCACAGGGTGACGCGCCCACAGCCCCGGGGCAGGCCCCGGACCCTGCCGTCCCCACCCTGTTCTTGCTGCCCCCGCCCCGCCCCGAACAGTTACCCTGCCCCGCAGGCACTTGGGTTGTCCCCATCCCAGTCATGCTCTGGGCGGCTGCTGAGGGGTCTCGGCAGGGGCCCCGTGGCCCTCGTCTGTGCCAGGCTCCGTGCCGACCCTCACCTCCCATGGTGGGGGCCGGGCTGCAGCCAGGCCAGCAGCCGTCCCTCCGGCCCCGGTGCCCCCGGCAGCCTGGCCAGCCCTCCAGACTGTCAGGGAAGCCGGGGCTCGGAGCTGGCCCTGCGGTCGGCGGTCCCCCTTGTGGACCCGGTCCTGCCGACCTGGAGGGGGGGAGGCCCGGCGCTGCCCGCAGCACAGAGCAAAGGGGGGCTCCCGGTCACCTGCCCGCGGGGCCCCCGCTGAGCATGGCTCCCGCTCCAGAAGGTGCCGTGACACCACCGAGCCCCTCCGCCCGCCCCGGGGGACCCTCGCCCTGTTCTCCGGGGACTGCGGTCACCTGCTGCAGGGGGACGAGAGGTGAACGCGCCCGAGCCCCCGGGGAGGAGCCTGCAGCCCTCTGTGCCGGGGCCGCGGGCTGGGTGTCAGCGGGGAGGCCAGTGGTGGCTCCCGAGGGCCTGGACTCGCTGGGAAACGAGGACCCTCAGAGTGACTGGGCCCCCCCCCGCCCCCCTCAAGACCCCATCAGAGGTTCTGTTTGCTGAAGGCGGTCTGGGCCGGCCCAGGCGACTCCTCCCCGCCCCCAGCCCGGCCCGCCCCTCCCCTGGCGTGTGGACGCGCCCGCACAGCCGCCGGCTCCCCCGTCCCCCGTGAGCCCCTCTCCCTTCTCCCTGCCCCTCCAGCCCCTCGACCACTCACCCGGACTCTCGGGGTCTTCTTGGGCCGGGAGGGAGGGGCCCCGCCACCGGCCCAGCCCGAGGCCCACATGGGGAGCAGCGAGGGGGGTGGACGGAGGCAGGGTGACTCCAGGGCGGGCGCAGAGGCCGGGCTGCAGGGTCCAGTTTAGACGGAAGGGGGCGGGCAGGGAGGGGCCGGTCTGCAGGCCTCCCTTACCCGAGTCCCGTCCCTGAGCGGTGGCCAGGTGAGGCCAGGGAGCCTGGGGCGGCGGAGGCCCGGGGAGATAGGTGTGGGCGGATAGGGTGCTGGCGTTGGGCCGGTGGAATGTTGGCGGGGAGCTGAATGGCCTGGAACCTGCCACTGCCGGGGTTCCGCGTCCCACCGTTGCTGGGGCGACGGCTGACGAGGGTGGCCGCTCCCCCCCCACCCCAGGAAGCTCGCAGAAGCCGTCGGGCAGGGCTGAGGGCTTCCTCCCGCCAACAGAGCGGAGCCCCCCATGCTCCCCTGGGGGGGGGGCCTCCCTCTGCCCTGCCCCTTCCCCCTCCCGGCCACGGCTGCAGACTCTCGTGAGCCCGGGAGATCCTGGCCGAGGCCGAGGTCCCCGCTGAGCCTTGCGTGTGGTCTGTGTTCTCATTTACGGGGGGCGGGGGCGTCCCCTTTATGCGGCTTCACGGCCCCTGGAGACCGAGGGCTGACCCGCCACGGCGCCGGGGTCAGAAAACCCAGCCGAGCAACAGGAGCCCCGACCGCCCTCGGCGCAGAGCCTTCGACCGGGCGGTGGCCGGTCGGCACCCGGAGGACGTCTGTCCACCCCGGCGTGCCACCCAGGGGGCCGCCTCGGCCCATCTCTGCTCCTGTCTCGGGGTTTCTGTCGCTGGCGGCAGCTGCTGCTGGCGTGCCTGTGGGTCCTGCTGGTCTCGGGGGACCCGCCGTGCGCTGGGCGGCCCGTGGCTCTCGGGCCGTCACTCGGGCGTGTTCCGTGCCTTCCCCACGTTCCGGAGCGTCGATTTCCACGTCCCTGGGGCCTCTCTTCCTCTCCCCCGCCGGGACCGCCAGCCGCCAAGCGCCGTGTGTGGGTGGCCGCTTCTCCCCGCTCAGCTGTCCCCGAGACCCGCCACTCCCAGGACGTCCGGCAGGTGGCCCGTCTTGGGGGGCCGTGTTCAGCCTGCACCCCTGTGCCGGGCCGTCCCCTCCACAGGGTTCTGGGTCCCACCTCCAGCTCCTCCACAGCTCCTGCCGACCCCGCTCCTGGGGGGCCGCCTGCAGTGGGGCGTCCGCGCGTGAGCTGCACCTGGCGCTGCCTCTGAGTGCGTCACCTTCTTTGGAAAGCGAGGTGCATCCTCACCCGGCAACTCCCCCCCCCCCAGTCTTTCCGTCTTCCTCCGAGACCACGCAGCACTCAGCAGCCCCCGCCGCCCGGGCCCGGGCCCGGGCCCAGCTCTGGGCAGGGGAGGGGGCGTCCCTCCCCGCCCTGGGATCTGGGTTCTCCGTCCTGCCCCTGGGGGCTTGTTTTGCCGGCCCAAGGGACTCGGTTAGGCCGCACGCTGGGGGGACCCCGGCACCCCAGCATCTGGTCCCGACCCGGTCAGCAGAGGCCCAGCAGGGCCGGCGTTTCTGTGGGTCCCGGAAGCAGGCGGGGCTGCCTCCGCCCACGGTGTCCTGGCCACACGGGCCGAGCCCCCACACCTGCTCTGCCTGTCCCGCGGGTCTCCCTCGCCCACTCGCGTGAGGGGGTGTTTCTGCGAGTGACCCCCTTCACTGAGGCCCCGAAGGCCCCGTTGGTCCTTACGCCGGCCGCCCCTCGCCCTCAGGCAGCTGCAGACCTGGGGGAGGCTTTGACTTTGTCCCCCATCCTGACCCGCCCAGCGGGCGGGGCGGCTGAGTGCTGTGAGGGATTCCCACGGCGCCCTCGCTGGTGTTTCCTGCTCCCACGGGGGGCAGTGCCAGCCCCTGGGGGCCTTGCTGGCCGGCTCCTCCGCGGCCCAGGCCGGGCCCCGGGGAGGGCTGTAGGCTGGCAGCTCGGAGGGCCCTGGTCACAGCCGTGGCCACGAGGAGGAGGTGGAAATGCCAGGTCCCCTGCGGCCTCACTGGGCTCCCCCGTGTGCAGGGTCGTCTCCTGGGACCCCATCCCCCACCCCTAGGCCCTGTCCTGGTCTCTGGTGGCCCCGACACGCCGCCGGTTCTGCCCTCTGGCTTCGGTCTCTTGCGGGGACACGCCGCCGGTTCGCGCCCGCCCTCTCCTTGCTGGGACCGGGGGAGGGGCCTCAGCCCTCAGCTGGGCTCGAGCCAGCGCGCTGTCAGCCCCCTCTCCGGGGCGGGCGCCTCCAGGCAGGGGGCTGCTGTCTCCTGGGGGGGGCACACTTGTGTGTGCATATGCACGGGCACGCCTGGGCGTGCAGGAGCGCGCCCGCCCACAGGCCGGCCGTCCGTGCGGGCCGTCAGGGGTCTGTGGCTGCCCGCACGCCTGCAGGGGTCGGCCCCTCACCGGCGCCCTCTCCCCCCCCCCCAACAGGGAACACGTATCTCCGCCGGTACCGGAGGGCCCAGGAGCCGCTGAGGCACATGAACAGGTTCACGGACTCCCTGTGGCACAGGTGGAAGCAGGTCTACACCGACTACAACCAGGAGTGAGCGGGGGCCGCCCCGCTGCCCCCGAGGGTGGACGGGCCCCAGGCTGCCCCCGCACCCAGGCAGCGGAGGGGCTGGGCACCAGGCCCCCCGGGGCTGTCGGAGGGGCGGGGAGCACACAGCCCCGCTCCGCACGGGTCCCAGAGGCCCTGTCGCACCCAGGCCAGCAGCAGCCGCAGGGTCCAGGGGGGCGGGGGGCCCTCCTCGAAGCCTGTTCTCCCTCCCAGGGCGCATGTCCACCCGTGCTGGGGCCAGCACCCTGGGCCCCAGGGAAGCGAGGCTTGGCTGAACGCCAGACCGCTGGCGTGGGCCGTGAGGCCCAAATAAAGTGACCCTTGAGTGGCTCCGGGGTCTGGTTGGCTGCAGCCTCTGGCAGAAGAGCTGGGCCCCACACACAAGGCACCCGTGGGTGGTTGGACGGGGCTGGCACCTTCGTGCCGAGGACAACGCAGGCCTTTCTGCTGGGGGTGGCCGGGGCAGGGTCCCACTCTGGTGAGAGCTGCCGGGCCCAGGGGGGCTCGGGGGCAGTGCTGAGGCCACCTGGCTGGAGCCCGAACCGTCCTGGGCCTGTGTGACCAGAGCAGAGGAGGGGTGGGCAGCAGGGGGTCCTTCCTGGGGCAGGACGGGACACACAGACCCTGCCCGCTGCAGCCACAGGGCCCCCATGTGGGCACCGTACGAACCACCCCCCCCACAGGCCCAAAGAGCTGCCCTGCCCGGCCTGTGGGGACCTGCCTGCCGCTGGGCTGGCCTGGGCAGGGAGGGATCACAGTAGCCGCCCGAGGTCTCCAGCCTTTTATTCTTACAAGGACGCTAAGAACACACGCCGCCCGCTGACACCAGGGGGCAGGACGCGGCAGGCCCGCCACCCCTCCCCGAGATGCACGTGGGGGGGACGGGGCACGGGCCCGTGGGGCCAACCCCGTGTGGCACACAGCACGCCATCCTGGCACGCGGCGGTCGTCCCCCGAGGGTCCAGGCCCCGCCCCTGGGCCCGGACATATCAGCGTCACCCGGGGTGGGTGTGTCCACAGAGCACAGGAGTGTGCCGGGGACCCTGGCCAGCGGCCCTCCCACCCCTTGGGGGAGAGCAGAGCAGTGCTAAGCAGCCTGCGCAGGGCCCCCCGCCCCCTGTGCTGGCCTGCACACCGGCCCTGCCCGGCGGGCTCAGCCTCCTCGGCCTCCCCGGCCCTCTGCACCCGCCTTCTCCTCGCTGAGCCCCTCCGGCAGGGTGCCAGCCCCCCCACCCAAGCCGGCACGACGGGGGTGCCCCGACGCTGGGCCCCCGGAAGGGTGTCCTGCGGAAGCTGTGAGGGAGCGTCGGGGCGCACCACTCCTGGTGCACGAGGCCAGGGAGCGTCGGGAGACACCTGCACGTCTGGAAAAGCCCTTAACTTTCGCAACACTCGCAGGCCCCCTGCGCGGCCGGCGGCCCTCAGTCTGCAGTGCTGCGACACGCTGGCCCTGAGCTGAAGCTGCGCCCGCCCCTCGGCAGCCCTGGCCCGGGCACCCTGAGCTGGCCCCCGGCCCCCAGCCCGCGTGGGGACGGGAGGGAGGACAGCGGCCAGGCGGCTCCTCCCCGCACCTGGAAGCCCCCTTGCAGGCTGTGGCCCAGCCCCGGGGGCGAAGGGGTCGCCCACCTTCGGGGGGGTGGGTCAGGGGCAGCAAGCCCACCTGCAGAGAACCACAAGCAGAGCCCGGGGGCGGGGGGGCTGGGCCGCTGCCACTCAGGGCGCGTCCGAGTCCCCCCCCACCCAGTGGGTCTTTGGCAAGGACGAGGTCCACCGGGCCCATCTGTCCAGACGGGGTCCCACCTGACTCAGGGGTTCTGGGGGGCCCCCGGTGTCGCAGGGTGGGGGCCTGGCTGCCTGCGAAGGGTTCATGCATCATCTCAAAGGCCCCTCGGGGTCCCGGGTGGCAGAGACCCTACGACCTCATGAGGGTTCTCAGGGCGCTAAGGGGTGGGCCTCGCTTTCCGAAACCCGGGGCCCCGGCTGTTGCGGGAGGAAGCGGGAGGGGAAGGCACAGGCTCCGGCCCCCACGCGGGCCCTGGCACTGGGTGGCAGCGGGGCAGGGGGCCGGGGGGAGGTGGGCCCAGGAGAGAAGCCCCCAGACCTGCATGGGCGGGGCCCACACAGACCCGGGGCCCCCGGGAGGTCCCTGAAATACATGGCTTTGGGGGGCATGGCTCCCAGCCGACCTGAGGGCCTCACACACAATTAAGGGCCAGGGTGACGGCAAAGCCAGGCCTGGGGGGCCCCCCCGCACCGCAGAGCAGCAGTCTCACGCTGTCCCTCCCTTTCTGGCCCCGGCCCCCCGGGCCCAGGGGAATTAAATATCTGCTCCACTCGGCAAAGTCAGTCCTTGGCCTCGTCCCCGGGGCCGGAGGGCCGTTACCGCCCCCTCGGCCGGGCCGCGGAGGGGCCCAGGGTGAGGAGCAGGAGCAGGAGCAGGAGCAGGAGGGCCCCGCAGGGCCGGGGCCGGCCGGCCGCCGAGGTCTTCCGGCCCTCGCGCTCCGACGGGCCGGGGAGGGCGTGGGTCAGCGCGGGCCTCGAGCCGGCTCCCTTCTTGTCCGCCCTCCGGCTGCAGGCGTCGTCGGGACAGCCGTCCCCGCTGCCCGAGCCGCTGCCGTCGTCGCCTGGGGGGGAGAGGGGGTCAGCGGCCGTGCCCACTGGGCCGGCGGGGCACAGCCCGGCACGTGGCCCCCCCCCGGGGGGAGGGGGAGCGGGCACCCCGACTCTGGGTGGCGAGGACGTCCCGGCCGGGGCCCAGCTGTGCCCGGGGACACGAGGGGGCCCAGCTCAGAGGCAGCCCTGCGCCAGACCGGGGTGCCCAGCCCGCGGCCACCGCCCCCCACCCGGCCCCGCCCGGCGGCGGAGCTCACTGGCGTCCTGGAAGTCGGCGTCCTCGCCGTTGTAGGCGCTGCGCAGCCGGTTGGTCATGACCTTCAGCTGCATGATCTGCTGGCGGACGGTCATGTCAGGCTTGGTGATGTCCACCTCCACCTCGGGGTTGTTGATCTGGTTGGCCAGGCCGTCACCCATCACCTCAGGGAGGTACCTGGGGCCGGGAGGGGAGGTCCCAGGTGACCGCCTGGGTCCCTGCGAAGCAGCCCCCCATCCCCGCCCCCACCCAGGGAGGGGGTGGCACACTTGGGACCCCACGGGCCAAGGGGAGCCGACATAGGCCCCGAGGCACAGGGGTGAGGACGCCCCGGGCGAGGCGCACACAGCAGGGGGCCGACTACTGTCCCAGCGTCCCGCGTCCTGCGCGTCCCGCGTCTGGCAGGGCCCAGCGCGGGCCAGACGAGCGCCCCCTGAGGTGCATGAGAGGGACAGCGGGCCCAGCCGGGCGGCACCTACCGGCCGCGGGCCACCCCGTTCCAGCAGCGGTCGTCGCTGGCGGCGCTCATGGCCATCTTCTCGCTGCACAGGGTCCCCGGGAGGCTGATCCAGAAGTCCTGGGCGTCGCGGAGCTGGGCCTTGGCCTCCGACACCTGAAGGGCAGCAGTCAGGCCGCCGGGTGCCCCCGCCCTCCCCACCCCCCCGGGATGGGCCGGCCGGGGGGCCACTCACCAGCTTCTCCAGCCCACCTGCGGGCGGCTTCTGCAGCACCAGCTTGCCCCGCGGCCGCTTCTCCTCGGGCCCGGTGCCGTGGGGGTTCACCTTGGGGTTCCCGCAACCCTGGATGACCTGGAGGCGACCACAGCGGTCCTGGAGGGGCACGAGGCCGGATCCGGACACCCCCCCTCGCCCGCCGCACCTCCGGCCCGCACCTTGGCCGTGAGCGTGTCGCGGTTGTCCTGGAGGGCGTTGATGGCCTCCGCCAGCCACAGGTGCACGCTGCCGATGACACTCTCCGCGCCCGCGGGGCCCCAGAACTTGTCGGTGATGAGCACCATGGAGTCTGGCACAGGTGTGAGCACAGGCAGTCTGCACGCCGGCCCGCCTGTACGCCGGGTGTGCACGTGTGCGAGCTCACACGTGCGAGCTCACGTGTGCACACGCAGGCGCCGCCCTGGCCCACGGTGTGTCAGCAGGGTGCGAGTGTGCTCACACACGCGCGGGCCCACGTCCCACACGCTGGTGCGCGTGCTGCCGCGAGGCACGTATCTGTCTGCTCACGGCGCACGCGAGTGCCAGCACCTCAGACCCGAGGCAGCACGCGGCGTGCGGGGGCCCTCGCCCAGGTGGGAGGGCAGGAGCGATGACCCCGCGGGGCCCCCTCCCGGGCCGCTGCCCACTCTCACCCCACCCGGCCCCCGGGCCCCGGCCGCTCACCCAGGAGGTTCCTCCACTCGGCGTCCAGGTCGGCCTGGTTGGCCAGGCAGCCCTTGAGCACGTTGCGGCAGTAGTCGGGGCAGGGCCGGGCGCCGGGCACGCCCAGGCAGTGCGCGCAGTACAGCAGCTTCATGACGGCCCGCCAGCACTCGGGGCCCAGGGGCACCTGCACAGCCAGGGCCGCCTGAGCACCTCGCAGCCCGCGCCCGCCAGCCCCCCGGGGCCCCGGGGTGGGGGCTCTGGACCGAAGTCCGGTGGCCCTGCTCCTGCTCCAACCACCGTGGGACCTGGCCTGGCCCTACTTTCTCGGGGGGCCCGGGGGTTGCTGGCCACCCTGCACTCGCCCTGATAACCACTCTGTGGTTACCAGCCCCCCAGGGCTAGTAACTGTGAGCACAACAGCCACGCAGACGGGGGGACCCAGGCGTGGGACTGAGGGCTGACACCCCGAGCTCCCCAGCGGAGGGGGAGGTGGCTCCACCCGGGGCTGCGCGGGTCCGAGGCCGATGCGCTCCCACACCCGTCACCAGAGGTCTGACGGGCTGCCCCACGGGCCCGCGTGGCCTCGGCCCCTGCCTGCTCCAGCCGCCAGGCCCTGTCCCCTCGCCCTCTGCCCCCCGACCCCTGCAGCTGGCTCAGCGCCCAACCCCAGGCACCTCTCCCTTCCTGCCCAGGGCCCAGGCTGGCCGAAGACAGGACCGGGCAGTGGGTGGGCTGCCCGGGGTAGGGGGGAGCGCACACCCTCTGAGGGGCCGTCCGGAGGCCCCAGCAGCAGCCCGGGGTCAGGAGGGACCCAGGGCGGGTCCAGGGGTCTGGGACGTGACGCAGCGGGGCAGACCGCGGGTCCCCCGGGCACCCCGGGCGCACCTGGGCCACCTTCCGGACCACGTCGGCGGCCAGGCCCAGGCCCTGCACGAAGGTGCGGGCGGCCACGAAGGCGCGGGTGGCGCGCAGGCGCAGCTCGTGCGGGGCGTCCCCGAAGGGCCGCAGCGGCTCGGCCCGCTTGCCCAGGCAGTCCAGGTAGTCGTCGGGCAGCAGCAGCTGCGGGTGCAGCTGCCGGAAGAGGCGCTCCAGCAGCCGGGCCCAGAACTCGGCCAGCGTCTCCTCCAGGTGCAGGCTGGCCCCGCGGTAGTAGAGGCGCAGCTCTGCGTACAGCTCCCGGAAGGCCCTGGCGTTCTGCGCGTACAGCTCCCCGAAGGCGCCGGGGAAGGCGTCCTGCAGCGCCCGCTCTGAGTCGTTCAGCAGGCGCTGGAAGTGGTCTGGGTGTGGGGGGGGGGGGGGCGTCCTGGGTGAGGCCCGCGGAGACGCCCGCCCGCCCGCCACCCCCCGGGCCGGGGCAGCCAGGGCGGGCTTCCGGGGACCCCACCCGGGACACCCCCCACAGTGCCGGGTGCTGCTGCCCACGCCCCCCCCCACACCACCCCTCCCCAGGCGGACCCCACGCTGTCGTCTGGCCCCTGCACGTGGGTTCCCTCCTGTTCCCGGGACCCCCAAATCCCAGACAGCTGCCCCGAGCCCCGCGAACTCCAGCGCACCAGGAGTCTAGGCCCAGCTCCCCGCCGGCTCGGGGTCCTGGGGGCCGCGGGGCCCACTCACCGTCGAAGCCCCGGAGCTGGGCGGCCAGCGCGGCCTGCAGGGCGCGGCTGCTGTCCAGGAGGGCCGTCTCCAGCTCCGCCCGGCTGCGGTTGGCCAGGTTCTCCTCCATCGCGCTGGTGCAGCAGGTGTGGCCCTGGGGGCAGATCCGCAGGTGCTCACCTGCGGAGGGGGCCGTGAGGCGGAGGCGGGGCCTGGGCAGCCCCCAGCCCTGGCATCACAGGCCTCAGCCCCAGGCCCTCTGGGCAAGCGGGGGGCGGAGCCCCAGAGCAGGGGTGTCGCCCGCGAGGCCACCCTGCACTGAGGCCGGGGGGCCGTCCCGGAGACTGGAAGCGACTCAGGTCACGAGTCACCACAGCACAGAGTGGCCCTGGGGTCCCGTATGTGGGGCGGGCGGCCTTGGGGTCCCGTGTCGGGTGGGAGGGGCTGCCCGACCCCAGGCCCCTTCGCCCGCCCACGCAGCCCACCCACGCAGGCCAAGGGTGGGGAGGGGGAAAGGACCCCAGGCACAGACAGGGCGGCCTCGGTCTCCTCCCCCGACACCGCCAGGGCCGAAGGCCCCAGCGCGGAGCAGGCCCGAGCGGGGCCGACCTGCCACGGGGGTGCCCAGTGACCACCAGCTCTGGGCTGGCCAGAGGCACTGGCCCCAAAGGGCGCAGACTCCCAGGTCGGGGCGGGCCGGAGCACAAGCCTGTGGGCCCGGGGGAGGCCTGCCGCAAGCCCCAGCCCCGCCCCGCAGGACCTGTGCCCCCCCCCGCCCCCCCCCCCGTGTCCGTCCCGTCCCTGCACCCTCCCAGCCCCAGCCCCCCGGCCAGGACAAGCGTCCTGGCAGCACTGTCTGCCACAGCCCCGCCCAGGTTCCCACGGTGTCAGGGACAGGCCCGGAGTCGCGCAGCCCGGGGCAGGGGCACCCACGGGGGGGGGCCGTGGGCTCCTCAATGTGCAGGGAGGAGAGGGAACAAGGGCCTTTAAGCCACGCTCGTCCCGCCTTTGTAGCAACTGCGGCTTGGAGGCGGGTGCTGGGACCCCGTTTCCCAGACCGGGGAACAGGCCGACAGAGACGAGGTGCCTGGGGCCAGGTGGCACTGGCTGCCACACTGCGGGGCCCCTCACCCACCGGGGCGCCCGGCAGCCCCGCCAGCCCTGCCCCCACCCCACAGAGCCCAGTGCCGGCCCCCACCCAGCCGTGGCGGAGGCTGCCTGGGGCAGGGGACCAGACCAGGGGCACCCTCGTGCACGGCTGTGGGGTGGGGGCGGAGGGGCCTGTGGTGGGGGCCCCCCCCGATGACCTGGAGCTGGCTCCCTGGCCCCAGGTGGAGCAGTGGGCTGCACATCTCAGGGCTTTTCGTGCTCTCGGGCCCTGGGAGTGGCCCCAGCAGGCCCGTGGGGGGCTCTGGGCCCCCTGCACCAGGGCCGATGGGCCGAAAGAGCAGCAGGACCACTGCGTGTCCACACTGTCAGAGACCCTGGCCCACAGGGACGCACGCTCAGGACGAGCAAGGCCCCTCAGGTCTCCTGGGAGCAGCCCGACTGCCAGGGCCTGGCAGAGAGGGGCGCCCCATCCCTGCCCCCCTCCCGTGGTGGGGGGCAGGCACCCCCAGGCAGAGGGGGCCGGAACACAAGAACACCCCCCTCGACGGCCCTGTTCCCGGCTGTGACGTGTGTCCCTGGACCCCGGCCAGCAGGGGCGGGACACAGAGCAGGCCCTGGCCCCGCCCGCCCCCCCCCCCCTCCGGGACCCCGGCTGCAGAGCAGGGCACATCCCATTGGTCTTCCGGAGGGTGGAGCGTGGCAGTGCTGTGGGCTGTGTGCGCCCACCCACCGGGAGGACTCGGAGCACCCCCGCCCCAGCCGCCTGCCCTCGGACAGGGCCCAGGGCCGCACCCCTGGCGAGGGCCCTCACCTACTGCTCCGAGCTGCCAGGCTCCTGGGGGTGCTGGGGGAGGGGCGAGGGGGTGGGCGGGGCTGTGCCCTGGGGGCGGGGGGGGGGGGCAAGTGCCAGCCCTGGGCTTCCAGGTATCAGCTGGGCTCAGCTGTGATGGGCGCCCAGGCCCGGCTGGCCAGGTGAGGGGCAGCTGCTCGGACGGGCGGGCTGCACCGGCGCGTCCCAGCTGGCCGACCTCCCCCTGAACCCTGCTGGTCCCCGGGTGGACCCCTGGCCCGGGTCCCGAAACCTGTCCTTCGTGTGGACGGCCCAGAGGGGGACTGAGTGCACGGGGGCAGGGGGGGGGCACGGGGAGGCCCCCAGGACCCTGGGCGCCGCCAGCCCACCCCCTGCTCCCGGATCTGAGCTGGCCCCACCCCACCCCGGCCCTGCCCGGCCGCCTCGCCCAGCTGCCCGGCGGCCACGCTGCTCCGGCGGCCCCAGCACAGCCCCCGGCCCTCCCTCCCTCCTCGGCACACACGGGAGTGAAGACACGGAGCCAGAGCTCGGGCGCCGGCCTGAGGCCCCGGGAGGCCGGGCGGAGGCGGCCCCCACGCCCGCTGCGGGGCTGACGCGGCCGCCGGCGGTCGAGGCGCACGGTTGTCTCGCGTCCCCTCCGCCCAGCCTGGCCCAGCACGGCCCGGGCAGCGGGGCAGCAGGTGGTTCTGGCCTCGGGGGTGGGCGTGTGCCCTCGCCATGCAGTGCAAGCCTGGCCTGCCTGGTCGGTGCTGGGGGGAGGGGCGGGTCTGCCGGGAGAGGGGATGAGCTCCCTGAGCCCGGAGGTAAGCAACTGAGTGAGGGAGTCTCCACTGGTCATTTCAAACCACCCCAAGCCCTACGTCTCCTCTCAGTTCAGTATCTGAGACCAGAACCAAATCAGGGGTCTGGCCCTGCTCCCCCTCCCCCAGTCAATTCTGAAACTGCCGAGTCCGCCCTCCCACCCACCCACTCCCCACCAGCTGGCCTTTCCCCTCCTGCCGACCCCTCCCAGGTCACGGAGGCAACCGCCTCCCACACCCCCCCACACGGCTGGCCAGGGAGGCCCCCCCTCCCTCCCCCCTGCCTGGTCCCTCTGCCAGCTCAGCAGCTGGCCCCGCCCTTCCAGAACCCCCCTTCCCTGCTCTTCTGGGCACACCCCCCCCCCGGGGCTGACGCCAGGTTTCCAACGGAGAGCAGAAACAGCTCTGTCCACCCCCCACCCTCCCCTCCAGAGCCTCTCCTCAAGACCACTTCCCCCTGCCCCCCCCACTCCCAGACCGCCCTGTCCTGTCCCTCAGTGAAAGCACCCACCTGCCCTCCCCAGGCCAAGCCGGAGTGCAGACCTCCTGGCCGCTCCGACACCGGCTTCCCCTCACTGACCCCCACTAGGCTGTGGAGGGGGGCTCCTGCCCCCCTGCCCCCTGCCGACCCAGCTCCCAGCCCCCCACCTGAGGGCCCTGCACCCTCCCGACGGCATCCCCACCCAGCACAGCCCCCCAACCCTTCAGCCCGAGACCCCATCCTGACAGTAGGCACCGCGTCCCGGGAGCGACCTGGACCTCGCCTTCCCCGGGCCCAGCGGCGGCGGCGCCCTGTGCCTGGTGGCTGCGGAGCCCTCCCCCGGAGAGGGCAGAGGGAAGATGGCGCCACGCCGAGCCCGGCTCTCCAGAAGCTTCCGGGGCTCCGAAGGTGTGCAGACTGCCTGCTCAGCCACCTTCCAAGCCGCGTCCCAGGAGCTCTGCACCTGCCGCCCCAGGCACCGGGAACCTCTAAGTCGGGGCCTCCTCAGACGGTGCGGGCACAGGTGACAGTTCCGGACGCGGCCCCCAGAACACACTGGGGGTGGGGGGGCCGCAGGGGCTCCCCCTGCCCCCGCCCCGGTCCCGGAGGCTGCCCGGCTGCCCGGCCAGGGCTGTGGAAGGCTTCCCCACACAGGAGACCTTTCTCTGGACAGCTGCCCCACGCCCGCTCCTGCTCTGGGGCCCTAGTCCGCCCCCGGGGTGGCAGGGCCCTCCTCCTGGCAAGTCCACCAGCCTGCAGCGGGCGCTGGACAAACGGCCAGAGATTCCCGGGCACCGCCCCGCCTCCACACCCCGCTCCAAACCTTCCTCCCTCACCTCTGCCCACCCCCCCCCCTTGTCCCTGTCGCAATGACCATCCCTCCGTGAGGGTGGCCCCGGACCCCCCTGGGAGAGGACATTTCTCCGGCGCCCTCCCCCCAACTCACACACCAACAGCCGCACAACCCCTCCCCCTCTGTCCCAGCGCCCGCCCCCGCCCCTCACCCACCACCCAAAGCCCCTCCAGCATTTCGGCCAAATGACAGCGGAGGCCGAGTCTCCGTCACACACGGGACCCGACACGGAGGGGCTTCGCTGCCGGCGCCTCTGCGCTGGGTGGGAGGAGTCCGCCCCCAGGCCCGGGGCGACAAGTGCGAGGCTCGCGGGGCCGCGCTGCGGGCAGCGGAACAAAGGCCGACGGCCAAGGGGTTCCAGGTGCCCCCGGTGCCGGTTGGGAGTCCCGCTGGCCGGGGACCGAGGGCCGCGTGCCTTGAGTCTGGCCCCGGCACGCGGGGTCTGGAGCTGCGGCGGCGGCGCCGGGCGCGGCGCGAGGCGGGGGGCGGTGCGGGGAGGAGGGCGCCGCGATTGGCGGGGAAGGGGCTTGCCTTGCCGCAGTGGGTGCGGCGCGCCTGGGGAGGGGGTGGCGAGTGAAGGGAAGGGGGATGGGTCCGCCGAGGAAGAAGGGGGGCTTGATGCAGTCGGGGGGCTGCGGCAGGGCGGTAGGGGGCAGAGGAGGGGTGGGGGGTGGCCGGGCGCCGCGGGGATGGGGCGGAGGTGGGGCGCGGGTGGCGCGGGCTGGGGTGCAGTGAGGATGGGAACGCCGATTCCAGGGGTGGACTGCGAGACGGTGAGGGGGTTGTGCCGGGGCCGAGGGCGGCGGAGAGCGGACGGGGTGCAGAGCCGGGCTCCGGCAAGGCGATGGGTGCGGCGCTGGCGATGCGGCCGCAGTGGAGGCGAGCAGGGTGGCGGGGCGGGAGTGGGGGCGGGGGGCAGCGCGCCCGGGGATGGGAATGCGCCGGGACGGGAGATGACGATGGCTGTGCGGGGAATGGAGGGCTGGGGCCCGGAGGGGTCCCCCAGCTCGGATCCCAGCTCCGCGGACGCCACCCCGGCCTCGGGCAAAAACCCCCTCCCGGCGGCGGCGGCTGCGGCGGCTGCGGCGGCTCCAGCGGCAGCGGCGCGACATTCCGGGAAGCGCG